TTTTAAGTTCTACCTATGTTACAACATCTAATTATCTGTGCCTAGGTTAATGTGGCCCTTGAAAAACTACGTGGCACAGTCGCTATAGCAATATAGGATTGATACGCATTTTTTTGCCACACATATTTAAGCATAAATGTGTGGGATTGAGTTCTCTTTTAAAGTTACATTCGTTGGCTGTGTTTTATGTAAAGTGCTGTGTGTACCTTCTTTCATTGCCTTTTATATGCTTACAGAATAGACAAAGTTTAGAAAAATTAGTCCAAGAGAACTAGTGAGACCAATTATGAAGCAAACAAGAACATAAATCTGAGGCTTTTCTTGGGAATATCAGACAGATAGCAGAGAACACTAAATAAAAATGTATATAGTGGGCTAAGCACAAAAGGAATATTATATTCAAATTTCCTTTCCAAATAAAATATGGGGGAAGGGGAATTAGGGGAAATTAAAGGGCTGAGCTATGGGTTGATTTTCATTTATTCAGATCTTGACAGAATATTGTGTTTAAAAGAAGTAACTTCTGTTTTGTTCTATTTTTATTTGTTTAGTTTAAGTTCATAGAATTTGTCAGGCTCCAAAAATCACTTTCTGTGAAGATTTAACTTTCCAGGCATGTTGACGTTAAAACACTTTTGGTTGTTTCTTGACCAATAATTTTAAAATTATTCTGTATTGTTTTCTGGATTGTAAATAATATGTATATCCGTGCATAGTTTATGGCTGTTTCAAGCAGGCAGGGATATTGGAAGGTTAGGGAGTAATAGCGATAGGGGGTTGGGTACAGTTCTGGGTACTGACATGACCCAAATATGATCTTCAGTATTTCACTTAGAAAGAAGTCCTGATAATAAAAAGACTACATCTCAATTACTTCATTTATTTTAAAAACTGGATACCACTATGTATAACTCATACTGTATATGGCGTTTTGGCAGGGCTTTGGTTTTTTCTATGAAACTTCTGCTTATATACAGAACTGCTCAGGAAGTTCTTCCTGCCTGCTAAAGCTCAAATAAAACTATCATAAGATTTTGATTCAAATTCATACTTGAATTTTATTAGGCACAGTATCACTTTGTTCACAAAATTGTCTTTGCTAACTTCATTAGGTCTTGATTGCTTTTCACTGGGTCGTGAAAGGCAGAATATTTCTGCAGTTTCTAAATGTATTTGTCTGAAACTTTCTCAGTGAAGGCCCTTGCTTATTGGCAAACTTGTCCATTTTGACTAAAAAACAAAATCAGAAATCTTTACAAGGGGGCCTAATGTCGTTACCATTTGTGAAAAAATGAAATTTAGAAGTCCTGTGAATATGAATTTGTTTAACCTAAAACACTACTGATGTTTTTGAAGGAATAAAAGCAAAAGTATCTGTTTTCAACTTGTAGTGAAAAGCAGAGTGGATTCTGAAATGTTGTGTTATTGATTTGTTCTGAAGCTGAATTGCAGAGAAGTGCCAGCCTGGCTATTGGTGGAATAAATCCCCAAGTTGGATAAAAGTTGCCCTTAGGTTTGCCTGCTCTAGAGTAACTAGTGCTGAGGTTGAGAGACAAGAAACTTCACACTATTATGTTCACTAAATAGGCCCGTTCTCTGCAACACCCTTCAAATACCTGTATTAACATACTGTGTCTAAAGATTGCATGTTAATTGATTTGCTAAAAATTAGTGTTACTGATACAACAGTGTGCTAATGGTACACATGATGCTGTTCTGTGCATTTTCTTTAATAACTGGTATGTATGGAGTCTTTTAAACTGGATTAAATTGAGAAGGATTTAAAAACTGGTGAATTTAAAATGGTTTTGGTTATATAATGAGGTTTCTTAAGGTCCACAAAGGATTTATGAGAAATGATAGCTAATATTGTCAGGCAATGAAAGTAGCTTGGTGTTGAGTAAGCTTAGTATCTCCTTGTTTTATTGTGTAAAAATTCTTGGACTTTTCAGTTAAGTATTTCTGATTGTTCCTGTGAATCTCTGTTGGAGAGATTTCTAGTTTCAAAAGCATACTCAGTATTAATAGGCCTCTGTCATTTTTAGAGCTACAGCAGTGTCCATAATGTGCTAGGTGATAGCTACAATGATTTCAAAGACAGAAATTTCCTCTAAGACAACAAGCACCATGTGAAGGAAGTCAGAGCAGGATACAGTGTACAAATTTAAGAATTAATACTAAAAATGCATCTATAGCCCTCATTTTTTGTTTATTTTTTCCCTGTTTAATTCCTTACTCATTTTAACAATTCAAGCATGTACCCAATATCTCTCTCTGTCCCAGAAAGCTGTCTTGGACTGTACTAGTCACTGGGGAGACATTATGTCGCTGGAGGCCAGTGGTGCCAGCTTTCTGTTAGGTCCATTGGCATAAAGGGAGTACACTCTGTTTCACTTAGCAGTGCATGCTGGAAAGCTAGGGTAATTCCTAAAATGCCTCGATGTTTTGAAATACAGATTTCTCCTCACCGCTCAGCAGGAGAAGCTGTCTTATTTTCTCTTTTTTTTTCCTCACCTTTATATTACATTTAAGTGAGATTATAATTAAATGCATATAGAGAGTGTTTAGAACATCAAACCCAGGTAACACACATGCTTATAAAAGACGCAAATGAAGATATGAACTGCACTTCAGTTTTGAGAGACTTTTTTGATTTAATCTTTCTGAAGTACAGTTTTTCCTGTCTGGATGACTTTGTAGGTCTCCATTGGTAGAGCAGCCATGTGGATTTCTCTCTTTGTGTGCCATGTACCTGGGATTGCGGCTCTTAAATAGAGTTTTCATCACAGAATTCCTGCCTCAGTAGCCCAGGCAGAAAAAAAAATATTTATAGCCCAAATGCCTCTTTGAAGTGGGGTGATGAGCGGCTTTCATCCTTCACTTAATCTGCTTATTTCTGGCTAGAGCAAATGTCTAGGTGTTCTTAAAGTAAGTGTGCTCATGTTTCTCTTCTCGAGGTAGACAGCATCCTTTGTACTTGACTGGCTAACTAGCACGTTCTCATCCCTAAGAGGAGTAAATCTTTTGCTGTTTCTTCTGTTGACTAATACATATCTCAGTGTGAAGAGCGTTACATTGGTTCTTATATACTCTCTAACTCTGCACGTTAACAGACATACATAATACAAATACTGGTTGCTCAGTACTGGCTCTGGGTTGAGTAAGACAGGGTAAAACTAGTTAACCTGCATGAGGCAAGTGACTTCCAGTATTTTTCTCCTTGTTATAGTGTAGCATTTTCAATAAAAAGAATCTGGTTGTGTCTCCTTCTGTTGTCAGTCCTAATTTTTTTTTATATATTTGTGTGTCTGAAGACAGTTGAAGTTAGGTATGATATTGCAAAACTAATTGGGGTGTATCACCAGGCAGAAGGATGGTTTCCTGCTGCTGCTGCTTTTAATGGGAAAATAAGAGTTAGTTAAAGAACAAAATACCATCCTGAATGGTCAAGAATCTTGTTTCAAAAAGGCTTGGGTTTTTTGTGCAGGAACATGCATTGTCTTCTGCTGTACGAATTCAGGAAGGAGGGGATATGGAATAAACCGAATTTTTTCAGTGTGTGTTGAAATTTCAGAGGTTCTTACAATTCTAATTAAATGCATCTCTTCCTTATGGGATATTGCAGTTTGTGACTCACTGTTACCTCAGGTAATTCGCAATCAATCTGTCGCTGTGATTGCAAGAGGACAGATGAAAACTGTTTGTGGCTGCTGTTTTGGTTATGCTGTACAGCAGCACTTCAGGACTGTTAAAAAAGGTCTGAAGTGCATTAGCAGTATTTTGACCTTGAGATATACCTTTGAATAGTTTTAAGAGTTGTGTTACTGTAAATCTGTTACTAAATTTGGAACTCTGAGTCCTATGCCCTGGGCAAATTAGCTACAAAGAGTTCACATAGCCACTGTCCTAGCTGTTTTTTCGGTATTTTTGTTAGAGCAGAGTCAACAGAAATGAACGTATGCCTATTCCTTAGTCACTGTCCCTCTGACATGGTAGCAGGAACATGGTGAATAGCTAAAGGAAAGTAGCATTATAAAGTTCTAGAGCAAGGTGGTGTAGAGTTTTGAGTTGGAGCATTTGATTTTGGCAAAGAGCAATGTGATTAAAGTTATCGCTGACCAGCATGAGTGAAGACTTTTTTATTATAATCTAGGAATACAAGATGCAAGGGCAATTGATTCTTGTATGATGTAGACATGGAAATAGTAACAAATAAATATGCAGACACCAAGTGAACTGGGAAAAAAACCTTTTGATTTGCACTTCTATATATAATCAGTAAAACTTGCTGCAAGTTACAATTTCTAGTACAGAGCTACCCAAAAGTTTCTTATTGCTGCTGGCAGTAGCAACTCCAGCCCACAAGCTATCACATGAAGGTGCATTTTGCTCCTTGGGCACTATTCTCTTTTTGCAATAGAGAGCCACTGTAACTACATTTTGGGAAGGACAGCAGCATTGTTGATTGGTTGTGGTGGGAAAGTGAAGTTGACAAATATAGTTTTATTTTCCTAAAGAAAAAATAGGTTTTTAAAAAACAGTGACTTGAAGAGGTACAAAAATATTGGTACTTTCACATCATAAAGAAAACATAGGTGCTGTTGGTTTTTTTTAACAAATAAAAACTGTGGCTTGAATAGTGATCTGGTCTTATTGATGAAGTGTATATATAATATTCTCACCTGTGTAAGTGTAGTAATGTAATTATGTCAAGAATCTCCACAAAGTGTTGCAATGTGCCTCATGCAGAAGGCATGGTATTGCATTTGTTTGTATTGCAGTAGCTTCTAAAAGTCTGGGATGGAGCCTGAATTTCTAATGTTCTATGTACTCTACAAACACATAACAAAAGCATTGTTCCAAAATTTTTGTTGCATATAGTTTTAAGATTTTTTTTTTTTTTCCAGGTATCCTAAAAAGAGCTCTAGTTTTATTTTGATGGTTATAACTTTCACTTTGCCTAATATTCACACTGATTATGGTATAAATTTCCTTTGCAGTTTACGTGTGAACTTGGACATGGGTAAGGCAGCCTATGGGTGGATGATTATGAAAGATGACAATATTCCTGGAACAGTTGTTCGAACTAGCACCATACCAGAAGAGTTGGGACGATTAGTTTATTTACTAACGGATAAAACAGGTATATCAGGTTACAATTCTGAAATGTGATGACTTTTATAAAATTTCTAAACTTTATTCTGTATTTGCATATGTTAATGTAAGAGTAGATTTAGAGTACTGATTTTTATTTTTCAGTAAAATTTTAAACATGTGCTTGAGGACTTTGTACCCGTACCAATAGGCTTAGGTAGGCTGGTACTTACACATGAAAGTCAGTATTTGGTAGTAATCTGATTTATTCCAGTGGGAACACTCCTGCTATAGTAACAGGACACTGGATAGCGTTAGTAAGAGTACCATATATCTTACTCTGAAAAGACTCTGGATTAGCACTCAGGATGCTATTTTATTCTGCACCTCATTTCTACTGCAATATTGTATGATAGTAACAGTTAAGAATGGCCTTCAAGAGAGCAAGTCATTTCCAAAACAAGTCATAAGATCAGCCTCCAAAATGACATCTGTTATCCCTATGAAGTTAATTGCTCTTTATGTTAGAAAGAGCAGTTCTAGAGCTGCTGTATGATTTCATCTTCATAACTGTAACCTGTTACTACACCTGACCTGGTATACTGGAAAACCCAACCCTTACCAGGACCAGAAGGTAGGTAAGTGTGTGAAGAAGTAATAGCTTGCATATGCTGCCATCTGCCATTATGACTGAAACTTGTTACAATCTTACCATGCTCTTAGTTCTAGATGTATTTAAGGAATCTTAAAGTTTATTTCGGAAAATGTCATAATAAATAACAAGTTAAATTCTGTAGCAAATACAGTATTTCTTCTCCTTTCTTCTTTCTTTCTGAGATTAAATAAATCAGTTCTGGTAGACATACTGTTTTTTAAAGAAGCTGAACTTTTGAACTGAGAAAGTTGTTTCTCAAACAGCTGAAGAAATTTTTTAGTGGTTTTAAGTAAAATATAGTTCAAAATGGTGAGAAAGCATTTGGAGGGGCAAGGGTTGGCCTCTGTTATACTGTTCAGAAAGCATAATTCACAGTTTACTTCTCTTTCTGCTTGAAATAGTTCCACATTCCCTCCCATGCTGAACACTTCCATTACTGCATATTTTGAAATTAAATGGAAATTTAATATATTGTCACATTTTTGAAACACACTTTCATTTTTTTCTATAGGTACATATGTTACCCTATACAATTCTGAATGCTGTTCATCTATTTTGTAAAAGATAAAGACAACTGCCACCTTCTTTCTTAGCATGTAGAAAAGTGTGTTGCTGATTATAGCGTGGTAATTCTTCAAAGCAAGTGAACAATTCTTTTTTAACAAGTTTTATTTCAGTTAGCTAATGATTTGTATGCTATTTGAAACTGCTTATTGATTTTAATTGTACCCTTCATCATGATAATTTATGTAACTTTAAGAGTGCTGTCTCATCGAAGGCTTGAAATGTGTAATTTACAGTATACGTTTGGAAAAAGGGAAGTATATTAAAAAATAATGAATTTTCAAAATAATGCGGTAGAGTTCATTCGCCCAAAGCACTACTTTGTAATCAAAAACAATGTGTACTTAAACTTTTCTGATAGAGAATCCAGTTCCCATATCAAATTGGAAATGCAGTTCAAATGTTGAGGTATTCTGCTTACAGTTAGACTGCACTGAAAATTTTAAGAGGCTTTATAAATAAAACGCTAACAGTTCATTCACCCAACTCTAACAATGCAGGAATTATATTCTGATTCTATGATTCTATGACCAGCTTATATTCTGAGGCACGAGGATCAGTGTACTATCTTCTTTTCCTCAAGCTGTATGTACCTACTACCCTGTTTGAGAAATAGAAGATTGTTTGAAAAAGAAAAAAAAGAAAAAAAAAAACTGCTGCAGTTCTATTTCTAGAAGGACAATCAATACACTTAGCCTAGTACAACGGTAATTAAAAACAAGGTTTTTCTCCTTAAAAAAAAAAAATTTTTTCTGGCAACGTAAAATTTAGTGACACTGGGTTTTTCAAGGCAAAAATACTGTGTTACATCTATAAAGCTTTGAAAGGATACATTTTATTGACTTGCATATACAAAGAGAAACAACCCTGTTCAGCTTCTAATCTTTTTTCTTTTTTCAACCCACATCATGCCACGTGCAATCACAGTAGTTCTGTTTAATTTTAAGAGGAAGCACTTGTATTCTGGCCTTTCAGAGTGCATACTTAAAAGGCGGCTAAATAGACAAATGTTAAAAGGCTTTTACCAGCAAATGTGTTTATGTATAGTTTGGAAGATAGCTAGCATTCAATCTCAAAGGCTTTTCAGAGCACTGAAGTATACTGGGTTCTGAAGGAAGGTCTGAATCTGTAAGTTAATGATGTAAAAATGAAAATAAAAGCAGTATTCTAGGTCCAAAATGTTTTGGACTAACAGTCAGCAGTCTCACCCTATGCGCTTTTATCCAAGTGTTAGCTGAAAGCTGATGTAAGTGAAAATAAGGCTGGAGTCCAGCAGACGTCACCAGCTTCAGAACACTGACTGTGGCCTTGCAGACTACGCTGTTCTTCAGGTCGCGATGGGAAACACTGCTCAATTTTATTAGTCTTAAATGCCCTGCAAATTTTAAACTATTTTTAATTCTGGACAAACACGTAGCTAATGTACCTTTTACCCAAGTATATCAGTAGCTGCTTCCAGTTTCCTTTCCTGAATACGTTTGGTCTCATTCTGCATTTTATCATAAATGTGAAACATACTATTAGGTAAAGAACAGAATCTGTACAGTTAATCCACGATTGCCATTGCATGATTATACGCTGTTCATGAGAGCTGGCTTCAGTACTTTCTCACTTGAATTTTCAGTTCTAGTCACATAAACCAGTTGATTCTGTTCTTCTGCCCACTTAAGCCTTGGCTGTTGGAGGAGAAAGAAGACAGCCAGTTTTGTAGCCGTCTGTCCAAGTGGGTGCTACTAAAAAGCAGGACTAAAAGGCTGGTCAAGTTAAATGTAAACAGGTGAAGTTTTTCTCGATATTGAAAATGAAAGGGAATCCAGAGAAATCTTATATTGTGGTCCAAGCTTCACTGGAAACGACCGAGAATTAGTTGTTGAGTCTAAGGAGCATTGCATTACTAACATAATTGCAAGGTAGTCCTTTGTATGATTGTAAATTGGGTTTGTGCTTCATCAATAAGCTTTTTGACAAGAAGCGTCCATCACGGTGGCTCTCTCATTTGCCACAGTAGAATAGAAAATGAAGTATCCCAATAATTGCATTATAGTTTCCTTATTGTGGGACAAGAAAGCAATGTGGTATAATTAGGTTTGATTGGAGTGCATGTTTCCGGTAAGATCTGAAATTAATGATGTTGCTATAGTGACACATCTGCGGCCACCAGTGCGTGAAACATAAAGTAATTCATTCGACAAGAGAAGACATCTGTTAACTGCAAGGATGCAGAGCATATTGACACTGACCAGAAATACTAGACGTTATGTGATAAATGAACAAATGATGCTGAAACAGGAGGACAGATAATTTGTACTTAATCTGCTGGGAGAACTTTAATCTTCTCACTGGTTGCATTTGACAATGCCATTGTTTAAAGAACAATGCTGCAGAGAACTCATAAATTTTAAAACTTAACTCAGGGTGCAGCCTATTAAAGCAATACATTAATTCCTTTGTTAGGGAGTTTTTATCTTCATGTAGAACAAAGCCATTACTAAAAACACCCACTAAAACAACAGGTTTTTTAGGACTCACATTTTAATTATAGCATCCATTACCCAAAATGCCATGTTGTTTGGACTTGAATCACATATAAGTTTGACAGAAAGGCGTCATCCGTTGGGGGGGGGGGCATTACAGGGGGGAGCGGTTCCAGCATTTTCCAAGGGCAGCGGAGCATGATATCTCATCCTCTCCAGCGTACAAAAAGATTCTAATCATGAAAGAAAAATAAAGATATTTGGCAATATTTATTGAACATTTTTGTTGCTTAGGATGTGGGATGGCAAACCTTCTGCTGTTCACGACAACTACCAGAGTATTCAGTTAAAACAAATGCGTACAGTCTTTCAAGCATAGTTATTTACTAATGCATACACTTGTATTTGAGTTCTGTAATTAACATTTTAGCGGGTGTTTGGACCAAATGAGATACTTAGCAGATATAATAGTTGAACAGATGCATAAGGCAATGGGATTCTTGATTTTCTAGGAAAGCCTTGTGTTAGAGGTTGGTGTATATGGGCTTTTTCATTAAATGTGCCTCCTGTAATGTACTATTAGAATAGTGAATTTAAATAATTGTTTCTGAAAATTAATCTTTTAAGGTATACTTTAATTGAGTCTTTATCTGTTCAACATAAGCTACCACAGAGAAAAAGTAATTAAAAAATGCTGATGGCATAACATCTCCTCACTTCACTTTAATGGATATATATTCACGCTATTGCCCTTGCACTTCCCCTACCTCTATGATTTTTAATACCACTAAGGTTGCAGGGTGAGTAGAGCAGACTAGGAATGGAAAGTTCTGATGCAGAGATCCTACAGGAAGCTTCCAGACATGCACTTAAAGTAGATCAGTCAAAGGAATCCTTACTTCGTGGCTTCTGTTGGACTGCCATTGACTGAAAGTACACAGTGTATCCAATGTGTATGGATGTTGCTCTTGGATATTGCTGTCATTCTTGTGGGAGGCAGAAGGCGCAGAGGAAGTAGCTACTGCTATTCCTGTTAGAATACTGTGTTAGCTACTGTGTTAGCTCTTACCTCTACTGATACCTTCTACCCAGGAAAGAATAAACATATCTCAGCTCTCTTTCTTTGCCTTCATTCTTAGTGGTTGTACTGGGGTTTCTTTGGTTTGAGGTTTTGTGGTGGTTATGTTTATGGCCTGTTCATAAGTGCAGCAGCTGAGTGACCAGACATATTCTATGTATGTGTTTACCATGATTTTTTTCATTTTCTTTTTACATTCTATACCAGGTTATGTTTTTTCCCAGGATTCAGAGAAAAAATTTGCATCTCCAGATTGTTGCCAGCAGTCTAATTATTAGGAGCATTGGGCCCGATCTCCCTTAAAGTTTCCATAGAAATGTTCACATTTACACTGACTTTTTATCTGTTTAAGCAAATAGCTCCAACAAAGCACTCATATTTTATGAAAAGTTACTCACCCTCTCAATTTCTCACAAAGTTATTAATTCTTCCGCTTTTTTCTTGTTTTGTTTTGGCCTTTTTTGTTTTGGCCTTTTTAGATTGTTTGTATTGGTCCAAATTACCATCTAGTAATATAGGATCAGAAAGATCTGCATCTGCTTCTCAAAAACAAAATAAAAAACCTCTGCTGCTCTGTTGTGAATCACATCTGTTGCCACCCAGGGAATGATGCCTTCAGGACTTTTTCCTTAGAAATTAATTTCCTCTTTGCCTGCTTTACTCTGTGTTTAATGTTACAATTGTACGGGGTGGGAGGGGAGGCTTCGTTAAAGAACATACTAAATTTTTCTTCAGCAATTGTTTACTAACTTTTTGTCAGGATATTTTCCTTGTGTGGCACCTGCATTCCAGAGCAAACTTTAAGAATGTATAATAGTAATAGTAGATCATATATTGACTAGCATAATTTCTGGAAGCTTTTCTAAAATAAACTTTTTTATCTAATAACGCTTCATGTTAGCAATGTCCTGAAAGCATGGAATTGATAAGTAGGTCTTGAAAAAGCATTATTAAAAATAGAAAGCTCTTTCGCTGTTCTTTAATACTTATCACCTTGAGCGGACTAGAGAGCTCAGTTTTGGGTTGCTTTTCATTCCTGAAGTGGGGTATATTAGAAAATCTACCTCTAGATACTTGAAGGGATTGCATTTTGGGGCATAAAGTAAAAGATGTATTGTTTTGTCAGGGTGTATTAGTATTCAACTAAGAGACTAAAATTTAGGACAGAACTGCTGCTAAAGTTATAATGTGACTGATTGGCACCATGTAATATTTGGAACAAGTTGTTGGGAAAGTTTCTGTCCCATTTTGGTGTTTCATTAGAAGAATTTAGAAGTAAATTCTTAATTTGCACACGTGGTGAAACTTAACTTCCATGTGGATGACTGAAAAAGGTGTATTTTGTTTCATTTTTTGCAGAAATTTTTGGGAGCACTTTCGTAAATGCAGCTACACGTTTGTCTAATAACACGTCAGGTTTATTGTGACTATAGTTGAAAGCCTTACACTAGTCTTAAGAAGCATGAGCAAGCTGTAATTTTTGTTTCTTTTCTTTCTTTGTTTTTTTTTTTATTCTTTTTTTTTTTTGCATTACAATTTTGTGTCGCAGGTATAGGTGTTTTTGCAGCCTCTTTTCATATGTCATAGATGTTTCCTATTACTGTAGCTGTTAAAAAGGATCGTATCAGTAATGTATCAGTAATAAGATGCAAGTATTGAATCAGGATTGCCGGAATGTTTATTTCCATGTCTTTACAAGTTGATTCTTTTTCCTCGCCCATTTTTCCTAAATCTCCTTCCCTGGATCCTGATTGCGAGATAGGAAAATCCATACTTTTCTGCTCAGAAGCTTTTCTTCTCTGCTTGCTGAGAAGGGGTTGTGGGGGCAGGGGGAGGTATACAAATTTTCCACCTTGCCCTCACCAAGCATGATTTGGAGTTGGACTGATTTAATGGCGTCAGAAGAAATAATATTTCCATATAATAATCATAGGGCTAATTTTGTTTCCTGCTCAGTTTTCCCAAGCAGCAATTACAGAACTAGTGGGAAGCAGGTTTGACAGTTGCCTGCTGTCTCAAGTTTTGAGTAGCATTTAGTTTCACAACTCCTAGGGAGTGTTTAATTCAAAGGCTTGGCAAAGCTAAGAGCAGCGAGGAGATATTAGCATGCCTGGAAAGTAAGGAAGATGATGCAGATTTACTTGGAAATTTCTTGCAATAAACATTATTGAACAAAGTGGGTAGGTTTTGGTTTTGGTTTTGGTTTGGCTTTTTTTAGAAATGGAGATTTTAGTCTCTCATGCAGACTGGAGATTGGATTTTTCTAGTCTATAATTAAAGTAAAAAATTTAATCAATAAATTTAACAAAAGGTCTCAATAATAAAGGCAGAAGAAGTAATTTTGCATGGTTTTATATGATTACTGTAAAAACAAAATAATCTTCTTATCCCTTGTATAAAAGTAACCAAAAATTTCTGACTTGCTCATTCTAGAGATCAGGAACTTTGTCATCCTGGGCTGTTTTCCAACCTTGGGAATATTTTACTTCTCATGTGAATTTTTGATAATGTTATGCATATTTTGTGGGGAATTTATGCATTTCACATAAACCTTATTTTAAATATTTTTTTAAAAATTCAGATAATGTGACTATAGAAAAAAAAACCCTCAACAACATCTAAGAAAAAGCAAATGGGAAGTCCCATTTTGTAATGGTAGAGGGGGGAATTTGGAATGGTCATCTAGTGCTGGTTATACAGGAAGACATGGTTTGATAGTGCAGTGTGATGGTACAATAATTGAGATAAAGTGTCACTGTACAGATACTACCAGGAAGTAAGAGTGATAGGCATCTCAAGTATAACTGAGAAAGACATGAGACATTTACAGCCCTATCGAATCTTTGAAGATCACTAATGGTTCTAGCCCTCTTAGATGCGTAATCTGGATGCTAACTGTCCAAACAGTTCTGTTTTCCACATAGTAATTATAGCATATGTCATGCTCTTAGTCTTCTGTCTTGCTGTGGCTTACTGTGTATTTTGGCATACTGGCACAAAGACATGATACAAAAATTGTCTAGATAAATAAAATTAATACGAAATATTTTATTCTGCAGTTTTTATTTATAGATAATTATCATATCCTCCAAATTAAAAATATTGTAGAAGCTTCAAGAATGTAACTTTTGGTACCATTTTGTGTTGGGTTTTTTTTTTATCATCAGATTTATATATTTTAATGATCCAAAACTGTGTGGTTAAATATAAGAATAGCTTTATACTATATTAATTTCACTTCAGCTGAGTAACCATAGAAAAAAAGTTTTAGGAAGAGTCATCAAAATAATCTTTTGTGAGCTGACCATGGGAAGCTAGGCAGTAGTGACCTCTTTTTGCTTGATGTGCCCCATCATGGAAGGCTGAAGCCCCCACCCCTCAATTAGAGCTTTTCCAAACCAGAGGATGTGACTAGTTGGCAGAGGTGGATGCAAAGTGTCAGTCTGTGACTGACACCCTGTAGTTTCTTACAAATGTGAAGTGAGCTCTGAAAACACTGATTTCGTTCATTCTGGCTTATTCTGGTTGGAGGCTAAATCTGTCAAATTTGAAAGTGATGTTAGGTCTTAATGACTTACTCCAGATAATATTGAATGTGCCTGTTTGCCAGAATGTCTGTCTTTGTACACGAAGTGCAGGATATCTGTATGAATTTTAGAGGTTTGGTGGTTGGGTTTTTTTTTTTTTGCTTTAGATTTCCTGTGGTGCGAACTCTTGCATTGGCTTTTGAGAGTCAGTTCCATCCAGATACTGCATTTTCTGTCTTTCACATGAAGAGAAAAAGTTTTTGTCTTTTTTCGAGCTTGTTTATTGCACAATATTTAGTTGTGTTGGCAGAATCAGCTTGAAGGTGGAACCAGTGATTTCTTCCAGTATGACTAACCCTGATCTTTTCCACAAAATTCCTTTAATTAACTAAACTGATGCTAACTCATGATTCATTCCTTCTTTCCAAAAGAAAGATTTTGGGGGTTTTTTTGTGGCCTTCTCATGGTATTTTTTGCTGCTTTGTAATGTACTACTTCTTTATTACAGGAACACTTACACAGAATGAGATGATATTTAAGCGCCTCCACCTAGGTACTGTGTCCTATGGAACAGACACAATGGATGAAATTCAGAGTCATATTATAAACTCTTATTCACAGGTATCTCATTTCATAAATTATTTACCTTTAATATTGAGATTTTTTTTTTAACAGCATTGAAGCATTGTTGTTACTGATTATGTTCAGAAATTTGAGATACTATGAAAGTTCTTTCATTTGTAGGTATCTATTAACAGGTATGATGAAAGGGAAAAATGTGAGACAGTACATAGTTCTCTCCTGATTCTGAAGTTTCTCGTAATATCCACTTAAAGGAGTTTACTTTTCTATTCTCCACTAGCAGAAATCTGTGTTAACCTGTCTGTGCAGTGCAGTCTTTCTCCTGCCAAATCATCTAAGAGTAAGCTATTCATTATTGAGACTACAAATTACAAGTAAGTGTCCAGAACAAGATGAACAGTAATTATATCTTTGAAGATATTCATCAAGAATAGACGTCGAAAAGCCATATTAACTGGTATAACCAAAAAGTAAAAAAATAGTTGTCAAAATAAAATTTATAAAGGCATATCTAAAAAGTGTTTTTAAAAAAATTAAGATGACTGCAAACAGCATAAAACTGGGGCGGGGGGGGAGGTAGGTGGGAGGGCGGCAGGTGGAGAAAATGGAAAACTCCATATTACTTGAGAGCAAAGTGTTCCTGTGATATATATGAGTGTGTGGTCTGGAAAGTGTACAAGAGGATTGTGGCTCCTTGTCTGTCTGTGGGTCAGTTGTGCGATGAAGGAGGAAGATGGAATTCTGCAGGTATCACTTGCATCTCCCATGTATGTAAATGATTTGGGTGCTTTCTCCAAACCTTTCTAAGCACCTGATTCTACTCAGATTAGGAAGGATTTTTTACTTTATTTTTTATTTCTATTCTTTGAAGCAAAAAAAGAAAAAAAATTGACAGAAGAGGAGATAAATGATAGGTTAACTAGTATTTCCATATGTTGCATGCAGTATGATAATAAAACTTTATATAAAAGTTCTTTTACATAGTTAACTTGGATACACAAACATGACTGGCTGACCCAGTTAAGTTTGTAGACTGACCTTCTTGTCTGTGTCCTCATTTTCTCTTGTAAAAGGATTGTAGGATCAACAATTGATTTGAATCTTTAGTTGTGCTGTGTTTTGAACTATGGCTCCCTTCTCATTTCCTTAAAATAAAAGTAAAAATTAAAAAGTCGCTGTACTCAGTTGGACTGGACACCACGCTGGACTCAGTTAATATTATGTAGCTTTTGGGAAGAGAGGCAGGAGGGAAAGCAGTGAATAAGCAATGTATGTTACACGTTTTTAGTCTGCAAGTTCAATTTCTGTATTATTTCCCATCTAAACAGATCCACAAATCCACTTCTTGAATTCCTTTTCCTTGGAAAATCTATTTCGGCTCAATTCTTAGTAGGTATAGCCATGAATAGCAACTGAGATGCAATCATATGCCTTGGAAATGAGATATGGAGCTCTTTTACCTGAAGATCAGCAGTCCAAATTTGGTTCAGAATGGGTTACTGAAAGTAATTGCTACCTGACTATGTTTATAAAAAATCACCCAAACATAGTTTTGTTATAATGGGTTGTTTGGGTATTCACAAATAGTGAATAAATAAATAGTACAATAAATAGTAGCAATAAATAGTACAACTGACAGTCTTGAGCTGGCACACCTAGGTCTGATTGAGTTTGATGACGAAGCACCAGTCTTCTAGAGGATGCATATTCATTAACACTGTTTTCGTATTTTGCAGTTATATATGCTGTCTGAAAAGAATTGTATGATTCCTGGATTTCTTACTTGCTTAAAGCTTTTACTAGTTTGCTGTAAAATTTAATGAGTGGTAGCCATGGTTAATTAAGTTTTTAATAATTGTAACATATTTGGCACTGAAAATTTTTTAAAAAGTAAGAAATGTGAGGGAAGCTTTTTTTCCTCAACTGTGGGAAAAGATTTCCCAAATCTAGGTTTGCTGTTAGTAGATGATGAAAAGAACTTTCTTGGAACTTCCTTTTTTTTCAGCTTTATATAACACTATGTGATGTTTAAATAATGCTTTAATTATGTGTGTGTTGGTAGCAACTCTTTAAAACAGAAAAATGAAGGAGTCTCGGTAACAAAACAAGCAACTATTAAACAGTTGTTTCAATCTGAAAAAGTATGGTGAGGTTTTATTTAATCTATGGTAATAGAAGCTGCCAGTTAGCTAGGCAGTGGTTCTTGTGTGACATTGATTTTATCCCTTGTTTGTGTTCTGTTTTATTATTACAGTGGACCTACTAGACTATTGTCATCTTAATGTAACACACAAATCTATTATAACCTGATTATATTTCCCCACTGGAAGCATTTTGTGATAGAGGGCATAATCTTTAATGGAATTTGTGTGAAATTAAATTATACAAGCATCAATAAACATAACATAATTCAGAAGGAGTAAATCAGCTTAATTTATTTGCAGCTGTAATGGCATCAGCGTTAGCAGAATGCAAATGCAGAAGTTTAAAGCAGTAGCTGAAAATCAGTGCCAGATGAGCAGAAAGTTAAACCCTTTATTAGACAACACTGTAATTTGATGGGCAGAATGTTCACGGTTCAGAAGATTGCAGTCAGCAGGAGGAAAAAAGCATGGTTTCTGAAGAGGTTTTCTGAGTTATCCTGGAGTGAACAGAAGAGCCTTTGGTAGTCCTGCTGATATATTTAATGTGCTGACTTCAAAAAAAACCACAAAAAACAAAAAACAAAAAAAAACAACAAACAAACAAAAAAAAACCCAAAACAAAAAAAACCCCACAACCCAAAAAACAAAAACCCCCCACTTATTTTCAACTAATTATAAACATATAGTACTTTCTCTTAAAAGATTAATTCAATCACGTGCTTGAGCATTTCTGAAGGGTAACTTAAAACAGTTTAGTAGTTATGCAACAGTAATGTGATCTTCAAATATGTGTCAAACTATTATTTTGCATTATTATTTTTTAGATATTGCATTCTTATAAGGACAAACAAATTTCAGCCTGTAGCACAAGCATACAAACTGCATTAGTTCACAAATAATACAGAAATTGTGTAGGTTACAAATTACATCAGCAATATTTGTATTTTAATGACTACTAATATTTATACTTAACAATGATACTTGCTTTTGTTCTTTTGTTCCATACCAATGTGGTGGTCTTTAAAATACAGAGATTTAGATGAAAATTTAAAAGGAAAGGTTTTTTCAATTTAATGGTGTTGGAGTTTCCAACCGCTGAATGTACACAGGTGACAAAGAGGCTGAATAAGAACAACAACAGAACACCACCCTTGCAATTTTGTTTTGGTGTTTCTGAACTCATCCAATTCGTTGCTGGCTTAAATACTTTTTAAAAAACAATTCATAGAATGTAAAGGACGTTAAAGGACTATAGTGACAGTTCACTGTAAAAGGTAAATTCTGAAGTGAGGAAGCAGGGTTTTCTGCAGAATCCAGTCAGCTTATTCACCCCTTTTACTGCATGCTTCTTTTCATTTCACATTTTTCAATTGTCTGCAGGCTCCATTACTGAAATCTGACTACAAATGCAAGGTGATGAACCCACAGTTATGTATCAGTTCTACAGAAAAGTAGATGAGGGTTTTTATGAATCACAAATTGAATGAGTTAACAGTAGGTTATGTAAAATAAATAAATGGTTACTATCCTTATCATTTATCAGCCTTTGTAAAGGGAACAATTGGATATATATATTAGTATTCATGTTTTGCTTCCATTATTGAAGTTTGTTTTACTATTCATTGTGTTGGGTCTTAAAGGTGCACTCTCAGAATAGTGGAAACAGTACGAGTTCAACACCATCTAGGAAACCTCAGTCGTCTGCACCCAAAGTCCGCAAGAGTGTCAGCAGTCGGATACATGAAGCAGTGAAGGCCATTGCACTGTGCCACAACGTGACCCCAGTGTATGAATCCCGGGCTGGTGTGTCTGGAGAAACAGAATATGCGGAGGTGGATCAGGACTTCAGCGATGAAAATCGAACTTACCAGGCTTCCAGCCCTGATGAGGTTAGTATGCAAGGGTGAAAAAATTAATATCTTACGAAGAACAGGAAGCTAAGTTAAAAAGAGCAGAACTGTGAAAGAAGAGTGTTTTGGGCTGGGGTTTCTTTAAAATTAGCAGTAATCTGGTTTTATTTCCTCTACAGGTGTAGGAAGGATCTGGTGTTTCTTTGTTACATAAAAGTGTTTTCAATTATTTGACTAAAAGGTCTGTGAAATCAGTGCTTTGGGATCAATACTGTGTTGAATATTGCAGTTAAAGTTACTAGGTGTATTTGTAAAACATTAATCCATATATGAATCATAGCATATACATGCAAAAGGGAATATGAAACTGCTTTGAGTGATGGACAACCAGGTACATTGGCTAGAGACTCTACCATTTAGTAGAATGTATAGATTCTTAACAGGAAAAAAAACCCCAAACCTCAAATACTCCTGTAGAAAAGCTTTTGAGCTTCAAACCCTAGGCAGCTTCATAATCTTCAGGGTTCAGTCAAAATTGCATCAAGCGTAGCACAAATTTAAAACCCCGTTTCAATAAAAACATGCATTTGACTTCCACTGAAATCCAAATTTTAAACAAATCCCACTGCTTTCAGTGGATTTGAGTTATTGTCCTGAATAATCCTGTTTTGGGGCCTAAATTGATTGCCTAAAATTCAGTCTAAAAAGATATTAGAAGAGAGAGGCAAAGCTCAAGTTTCAAAATACTGCAAAGTGAGCATAAAAATAATTATAGCCCATTCACATTATAAAAACAAGTATGTACTTGATACAGTAAAAAAAAGAAGCAGAGTATTTCGAAGTTCGTTTGCCTCTGAAAGTGAGCAGGTTGAGGGGCATCTTTGTTTTAAAGAAATTCTAGCAGTGTCTGAAGCTTGGATGTACTGTTGGTGGTGTAGCCATGGTAGCTTAGTCATAATCAAAACAAGGTGGTTGTAAGATGTGAAGAAGGGAGTGTGTATCTGAAAGCCTGTATATTTTTCTAGCTATACCAGTTGATCTAATACAAGATCAGATAAAGATACTTCTAGCTGTAATTGCTAAAAGTAAAAGGTCTGTAACAAGTATTTTTAGGAATGGAAGAAATAAAATTGTCTGTCTTCATGTAGACCCGAACTAGCAGGCATTACATGCATTTCAGATGCTATAAACACAGTTCATAGTGTCAAAGGATTGTGGAATATAAAGAAGTGGCTGGTTCTCCGTGATTAAAAAGTGGCAGTCAGAACATTTTTAAAAATAACCTCTAGGCAGGACTTGAGACACTGCTCGTTGGCTAAAATCGATAATCCATACTACTATATGTGGTGTTGTATAGTGTGGGTTAATCTGCATTATGAATTGAGAATGTTGGAAGTGCATTTGTTTATGCAAGAGATGCACTGTAAATATAGTTTGTTAGTGTAGTTGTATAATGTTTGACTTGTATTATGCACATGTGTACAAATTTTCATATACACATATATTCATATTCGCTAAATAGATCAGTGTAATGAGCCTGAGAGGTATTACTAACTATAATGAAAGACTGCATGAGCAAGTGTCTGCCTATGAAGATATGATGACAGCTATGGATTAAGTAAACATTCTGCTTTAACAGCCAAAGGTATTACTAAATCAGGTGAAGAGTTGTGCAATTGAGAGAGACTACGTGAGTATTTTCTCCCACTTGCTCTTCTCTCCCCGTGGGCTTTTGTATATTCATTCAGTTGTTTGGAACTTGAAAATATTACCATGAAGAGCAATTCTGCTCCCGTATTTGCTAAAGGAAACTGCTGTAAGACTTGAGAATTATGCAAGTGGTGCCCTGGGAAGACAGTAAGGAATTTGACCTTGGAAAGAGGAAAGGAACATTGATAAAGTGCTAATATGACAGATCTGGGACTCAGGGTGGAAAGGGAAGTGGAAGAGGAAATCAGCAACAAAGAAACTGTTAGTGCTTCAGGGAAGGGAAAGCACAGGTATCCGTTTAATAATGATTTTTTTTTTTTTTAATCATCTCGACTCATACATTCAAACTATATGACAATGAAATGAAGAACTTATATTTTAGAACAGACAGCATTAAATTTCCTTTTCGTTTCTCAAAGATAATGCTTGAAAAACTAGTAAAATTATCATATTGAACAAATATGCTTTAATATAATAAGATATGGATGCTAAATGGAGTCTTATAAAAAGATGAAGCTACAAAAAACATTTAAACAGCATAAAAATTGCAGCATGACAGCAAAAAGCCTAAGAGTTGAAAGACTAGCAGGTCTTTATCATAATTTTTTAAAGAGTTCTATTGATGCAATGTTTGCAAATCACTGGAGCCTAAGGAAAATAATGTAAATGGTTCATTATTTAGCTTATTGAACTTTCCTGCAGTTAGGTTGACGGATGATGCCAATGTTTCCCAATCACCAAAGTACCATTTTAAAAGCATTTTTTATTGAATAAAGTGCTTTGAATATTGCACCCTGGAGCTTTATTTAGGGAAATGGTTCAATTGATGTTTTCTGTTTAACCTCAGCACTGACCTATCACAACGTATATGGTTAATAAGCAACATTATCATTTAATAGACTTAACCAGTTTAATCATTGTACTTTCTCAACATTACAACTCTGTTCTCTTAGATTTTGTTTATGGATCTGGCTTGATTGCAGTCTTTTGAAAGAAGATGTTATTTGCACAATTGTCTGTTGCATTATATAATATTGCATGATATCACCATAGTATATAAAGAGCAGAGAACAATAAGTGTAAACTATTCTTCCATGTAGGAAAGTATAAGAAGCAGTTTAGTAATACGTTGACACACTATACATTTAATGAATTGACTTGAGGAATTCTTTTGAAATTCTTCACATCTGTGTGTGTATGCGTGCATTCATATACAAATAAAATATAACCATAACAAAGTATGCACATTTAGAAGTAGGTACATTCATCATAAAAGATGTATTTATCTATTGTTAGAGTAACCTGAGATAAGTAACTGATTTTGTATTCATAATGTGAACCCTACTTATGCCAGGCTCTTTGTTTCTTATGATAAGTGATCAATATTTCATTTTCTCTGAAAGAGTGGAAAGTTTCATTTGTCTGTCACTTGTCCTCTACAGCTGTAGCATAGCAAACAATAAACACTGAGAACTCACTGAAAAAAATGAAAACGGCTCCTACTTGGCCATCATAGGTGTGGGCTCAGCTCATCTGTAGAAAGCCAGCTACCTTAATGTAATGAACAATCATAAAAGGATATAAGCTAAGTAGGTAAAGCAATGCAGTTCAAAGGTCACAGACCCAAGCTATTCAGGGGCATGCTATGAACAGGAGCCTTTGAAGACCTTTGCTCCCCTTCGTCAGAAAAGATTGATCAGTCACCATTTTTAATGACTGCTTACTCTCATAAACTAGCTATTTATTGGTTATGCTTTGTCCTGCACTGTTATATTCTCAAGCATTTCTGATTCCAGGATTTTGAATATTTAAATACTACTTTAAAGTGTGGTCAGTTATTTAATTCCAACGTTTCTGTCCAGAGACAACAGAATTGCTAAAATTAATTACAAGGATACAAAGACAATCATTTAAAAACAGACAGGGAAATGATATGCCCTTAGTGAAGCAGCTTTTGTGTTTACAAAAGTGAAGCTGTAATGTATGAGACATGTTGTATTGTTTAATTCATTTTATTGTGTGTGCTTATTGAAGCAAGACTAATTGTGTTGTTTTGTCAATGTATTGTGAAAAGCAAATCACTCAGCATAAAACCATCACTTTCGTGACCTTCGAGACCCACAAAGAATAACTACTCCACAGCTTGTCTTGAATATTGATCAGCAGTTTTTTCACATGATCAAGCTGTATTTTTAAGTTAATAATTTTATTTTAATTATGAAGTTTCTCGATGAAAAGTGATAGACTGCAAATGTTAGTTATCAAATCATTGTTTATAAATATAAACAAACCAGTGCTGATTGGAAACATGTGTGAGTTGTTGTTGAACAATCCAAACAGAAACTATTGGGAACACTCAGGCAGTGGGAAAAGGAAATCTCACTACTTCTTCCCTGTTTCCAAACCAATGGCCTTAACTTCAAAATGCCACACATATAACCTCTGTATACCTTACACGGCAACCTGATTTTGAAAGTAGATTCTATTGTCTGAAGTGAAGATGCTCTTAAATACTCTGAAACAAATGAAGGTTGGTTACATGAGAATTCTTCTAAGCAGCAAAACTAGCTTACAAAATTGCCATCCCTAGTCCTTCTTTCTCACCCTACAAATTGTTCCCTCATATATGCCAAAACCTTCAAAGCTTTTATTTATATGGGTCATTTTTCAGTTTAAGTGGTCAGGTTCATAGTATGCCTCCAGAAGAGCTGTCAGCACAACTGTGGGGGAACTCCCAAACTGCTGGATGGGGTGGAAAAGAACTGCCAACACCAGCCGCAAGGTGGTGGGTCTTTTTCTTAAACTGATGTTAGCACAAAAGGGAATATTGTATGCTGAAAGTGACAATTAGTCATAAACTGTTTTGAGCAACACTTTGTAAATATTGAGCAGTTAGTTATTTCTGGTAGGGAGTAGCAATGGCAGGCTGGCCTACAAGGAAAGGGAAGCCAGGAGCTGAGTATGATAGCCAGGCTGCTAGAAGCAGCGGCCTCAGTGACGAGGTGTACAGCCCCACAATATCCAAGCAAGGTGAAAAGAGCATGTAGAGCATGTCCCATGATGGAAACCAGAGACAGTCAAAAGTATAGATTGTTGTACAGGTCTGTGGTGATGAGGCACGTCTGAATTCAAGCCCTGAAGTCAAATCATTAAGTCAGGATCAGCTCCCGAGACAGTAACTAGTATTAGCCACAGTCTGGTGATTGCAAGGAAAGTTCATGGCAGTGAGGCAGGTCCAAAGCCAGGAGGCTGTGTCTGCCTATCAGGGCCAGGTCAGCAGGGTATGTGGCCAAGTGTGGGCATAGCTGCAATGTGACTGCAATGTAGCTCTCACAGGACCAAGCGTGAGAGCCAAGTGAAAGTGGGAGGGAAGCCTCCATGGAGGCTTCTTCGAGCTGTTTCTTTATCACAGCTCTTAACAGTGAGCTGGCCTTGAACGCAGCTGGTTAAACTCCTAGGAAGGAGAGTGCACTAAGGCCTTGACAGTTCCACTCTGATTAGGGTTTTGAGTATTTTTTCATAGAAATACACTGCTATTCTGACTTGGTTGATAAAAGCTTATGTTTGAGTCAAGTAAGTATCCAACTCTGTTTCAATTTACCCAAGCTAAGAGTGGGGTGGGTTGTTGTTTTTTTTCTTTCACTTCTGCTTTCTCTCTCAAAATATTCTATTATAAAAAACAAAATTAGTGGATTAGGTTCCTAAGACCAGCTAAGTTCCAAGCAGCACAGAATTCAAAGGGAGCGGTAGCAGTATGCTGGTTTGTATGTTCCAGTCCTGACTGATGTAGTATCTAAAGCAAGCAAAAACAGCCTTAGGGCATTTTTTTGGTCTTCTGCCAAGCAGTAACAGCCTTTTAGGATTGATCCAGTAACTGAAAGTCTTCAGGATTCAGCAGGGTGCTTCAAATACCTCACTTTGTGGATTTATAACCCTATGTGCCCAAAGGCAAGGTGAGTTTCATTTTTTCAAGTGACCACATCAGATTTTCTTTAACTGGAACTCCTTCATGCCATCATGCTCCCAAGATGACAAGTAACTAGAGGTAGTTACGTTTTCCACAGAGCAAAGGGACTCCATGTTGCAATTCCCCAAACTGAAAATTAGTAAGACAGCTGGGTGATAAGTGATATTTCCTGTTGGTCCAGAGGAAGCTAAGGAAGATGTTAATCTGAGAGGGAATGAGAGTGCCCTTCCTTGTGTAAGTTATTCACCCTCACGGCGAAAGGTCAGGAGAATTCAGAGGTGGGCTTTGAGTTGGGCTATGTAAGGAACAGTCCTGTACATACTGATTGAATGGCCTAAAGCCATCTAACACCACTCCAGAGAGAAGCAAACTCCTGTTATTTGATAGGGCAGGGAGGTACTTAACTCTTTCATCTTCAGGGTTGAAAGTAAATAAAGATATAGCTGTTCCTTTAAGTGCTTTCCATGGACAATCTGTTTCATCTTACATGTCAGCCTTAATTTTGACTATTGACTTGTGTGCTTAGATATTTGCAGCATTTTCTGCCACGTAATTATTTTCATTGTGTTACTAAATGGGAGTCATAGGCTAATCTTCTTATTGTAGAAGACATTTTTTCCCTAAAAAAAAAAAGTTGACACCATAGTTGAAAAAAAATCATTTAGAATGTAATTGGTTTACAATATAATTAAATATATCAAGGTTTTTGTGGCCTATGAGTTTACATGTTTTCTAAAGTTTTTTTTTTTAATTGTTGATTAGTGTTTATTTTAGGTTAAGATCAGTCTAATGTTCTAATTAAAGATGCAGTTCTGAATCCACAACAGGAATAATGGTTTTGGATTTTTTAATATGCTTCATATGGAGTTTATGAAGTCCTTAACTATTCATTTTCATGACTGTAGTAGGCTTAGGTTTTGTGACTGATAAAATAGGCAACTGCATTATTGTCACTTAACAACCTTACATACTTTATGGAACTTTCTAGAAACTACCTAAGATATTTATAAGCTGCTTGTTTTGATTTAGTTCTGTAAATTAACATTTCTAAACAAATGGGATGATTATGTCCCCAAAACATGGAATTAGTATGCAGGGTTGCCATGGTCTGTAAAAACAACGCTTCTGAAATGTCTCCTCTTCATGCCCCTCTCGAGATGCACACGTTCCTCAGGCAACTGATGTAGACACACCGACCTGCTCGGAGAAGCTGCTTACACATCCTGAGCTGGTACTTCTGTAGGTTACATTGTGGGTCGCACAGTTACTGCTTGAGTTGAGTTTCTTTATGAAGTCTCTGAATTTGACTTTGAATGGAAATCTGTGCTGTGGTAATTGAAGAGTTTGATATTTGGGGCTATGAACTATGGAAGCTTTGAGGGTCGGGTGGCCTCTAGTGGAGAGACACTGCTGACAGAGGCAACCAGAGCTCAACGGTGGGCATGTGGTAAATAGAAACATCTGAAAGATTTTGTTGAAGAAACACTAAACAAGAGGTGTTTCTCAGTAGCTTTTGTCAGATCTGTTGCATTTCCGTTTCATAATGCAAGTATTTGCTACCTTCATTCCTAATTTGGAAGTTGCTACTTTCACCTTGTCACGCAAGAGGTGGATAGCCGTCTTTACCCTCTGGATTGCTACTGAGGAGGAAGACAACTAGCAAGTTAGAAAGCACAGAAGCTCTTTTTGACTCCACTACATTATCTGTTCTGGGAACACTACACAGTTAGTGGGTTCAGGTGCACACCTGTGTCTCTGTAGTGGGAGGACCCTGTATCTACCAGTGTACTTCTGTCTACCAGGCAGCCAGTTTTCATAGAAGGGAAGCTTGGTGATAAGCCAGGCAAGAGCCACAAAATACTCAAATAAGTCCCTAACCCGGATTCAAGAAAGTTGACACATTCCATCTGTGCGTGTTAGGAAATTAATGGTTATGGGCAAATAAATATTATAATTAGAATAGATTTTTTTTAAAAAGCAAAATGGTAGCATCAACAGCGAAGACTTTGGTGTTTGTCCAACCTTTGATTGCTTTATCTGACTCCATCCAACACATCAAGCTCTGTAGAAGCCACAGCTGCTGCGTTTACCTGGCATTCTAGGGGTTCTTCATGTATGCACACTAGATCGCAAGACCATTGTAACGTAAGGTTTCAGAAACGTATTCAAGAGAAGAAAATATACTTGTAGAGGGGAAACCTCAAGAAGAGAGACTTACCTAAGAATCGTTTTCCTGAACTCTGTATAGCCAGCCATTCAGGATGTATTTATTCGTTAAGATTTATAATTTAGGTTTTCATGCCATTTGTGAAATACTTTTTTTCTTTTTTTTTAATTTGTATATTCTAAAAGCTTCAGATATTTAATGGTAAGGTCTGGCTATGGTGCTCTGGATGCTGTTAAGGTCTAGCTGCTCTGATTCATTCTGAATGATGAGAGTCAAACTTAATGTCTTGTTCTCAAGTTTGTTCAGTTGCCTTTTAGGCATCTGTTTGACTCTTGAGCCTTATTGACTATTTCTGCTATGGTGTTTGCACTGATCAATTTAAAAGAAGGAAAAAAAAAAAAGCAGTTGTGTGTAGGCCAGGTATAAGAATCCAAAATGACTGTGCTGCAAAATGCTAATTCAAATGGTAGGTGAAGCCAAGCATAAACGAAATAATAAACAGATGTGAGTCACCAAATATAGAACACTTAAGTCCTAGCTGCAAAGGGACACAAATGAGATGATAGGGTATTAGTAGAAAGATGCAATTTACAGGTCAGAATGTAATAGTAACCTTTCACTGTGAAAATTGAAAATTAACCTTGGGAGTATTGGATCATTTACAGCTTATATGGTACTTCTATTGAAGAAGAAAAATCTTTAAAAAGACTTCCTGTGATTTCCGAGATTTTAAAATGGTGCTTTTCAAAGTGTGTTCTTTTCTCTTCTGTAACTGCATCTCTCTGTATTTTCATTTGGTGATGCATGCACAGATGGCACTGCTAGGGTTTCTTAGGGGTTCACACAAATTTTTTTTTCTAATTTTAAATTTTCATAGAAGCTATGGTGATTTACTTCTTTGGGTGAAATTCTTAGTGAGCATTAGTCAACATGTCAGTTGAACTTATCTAGCGATTTTACTACTTGCATGTCTTTTATCAGACTGCTTAATTTTTTTTTTTTTCATCTTGGCTGAGATTAATAGCAGAGGCAGGTTCCATGAAAATCATGTTAACTTCATGATAATTACCTTTCTAATAACTTAAAAATCTGTTTTCCAATAATGATTAGCATTTGGAAAAATAAAAATAGAATTGAGGAGAAGAATATCTTTTTTATCAGAAACTTCCCATTCAGATATGGAATATGGCTTGTATATAAACTAACAGTAAAGCAGTTTTCCTGAACTATTAATTTTTTGAAGGAATAAACCACATGGTGATGGTGGTGATAGAAAAATATCTAGTGTGTTTTTTAAAGTGTAACATAGAAGAAAGTAGAAGCTAGATGTCATGCACTTTAAAGCAGCAAAAGTAAAAAAAAAAAGCTAATTAATGCATGCATTTAAGATGCCATATAGTGGCAGCTAACAGTGATTATTGTATAATGCAGCATTTCTGGGTTTGTAAAAGGGACTTTAACAAGCGTGTTTGTAGGATGCGGTATTGTAAGCTTGGTTTCCATCTCATTTGGTATGGTAAGAACTCAATTATATTATTGTTGAAACAAAGTAATAAAATTATGCAAGTGAACAAAGTAAGCTAAAAATAAGGTCCTTTGCTTGTCTATTTACTATATATTATTGTGTCTCAACTTGCATGTAATTGTAGATCTAATAAAATGTTTTATGTGGAAATACTCCCAAAATCTTTTACTTACATAGCTGTGTCGTTGGTACAGAAATTGTATTCTGGTTTTGCATAATTTCTACTGGGTGTCCTTTAAAGTATCGTTGAAGATATATCTGGGTTTTTTTATTAGAACTGTTATTTCTGAACAATATATTCTAAATACCTCATTTGCAGGAATAAGTTCAAATAAGTTTTTATATTCTTCATAAGAATTTTCGTAAGCTTTCTAAAGAGAATACTCATTTGATGTATTAAGATTCTGTACTCAGTCTACTGCTATTCACATTTTTTTTCCTAGATTCTTGGAAGAGTTTAGACTTTTACCCTAGCAACAGTTGTTTGACTTTAGCCTGATTTATATAACAGTATAATAGACCTTTCACACTTAAACATGCCTCTTTTTTCTTTTTTTCTTTCTTTAGGTAGCTCTGGTGCAGTGGACAGAGAGTGTCGGTCTCACTCTGGTTAACAGGGATTTGACCTCAATGCAGCTGAAGACCCCTGGTGGACACATTCTGACGTACTATATTCTGCAGATCTTTCCCTTCACTTCTGAGAGCAAGCGCATGGGGATCATAGTTAGGGTAATTTTGGGGGTGTTCTGGGTGTTGGTTTTTATTTCTCAAAAAATGTTTTTACTGAATGTTTATTTTTATAAAATTTAATAGAAACATGATCCTTCGGAAATGCATTTCACAAGATTTTGAAATGGCAAGTGTACCTTTGACACAAGTACACATGAAATACTAGGCAAGCAATTGCAGAAAAATCAGGCTAACCTGATGTTGCAGAGAGCTTTGTAAAGGACAAACTCTTCTCTTACATGGGAACGTGTTAATTTCACTACTTCACGCTTAGCCTCTGATGCTGCAAGTTGCCATTAAGCCTTTGTTTTTAATTTTCCATTTATTTCTTTCATACAAAGTATGTTGCCTCTTCAAGGCGTAAATTAACGGCTGAAATTTCTTACAGTAGTAGTTAACATCTTTCGATACTACTAGTGCTGCTGCTTTTCTAGACCCAGTATTGATATCTAAACTCATGTGCATACACAGCACAACCCACAGGGTCTAAGACTTTCAGGATGTGTGCTTAGTTGTCTCCTAGATGCCCAGTTGGGAGCATAGTAATGATCATTAAAACCTCAGATGAAAAGAAGCCAAATACCATGCTAAAAGGAAGGTTTAAACCTCTGCGAATGTTAAGCCATCCACCTACATACTTCTAACTTCTCCCTACCTAAAATCCAACACTGTAGCAGAACAGCATCAGACCACATTGTTGGATGGTTAGATCAGTGCCAAGTCCCAGTTAAATAGGTGTCAAGCTCATCCCATTTTTTATTTGCCCGTGATGACAAGCCAGGCATGCCATCAGCCTTAGGCAAGGATACATCAGGCAGAATATGTGCATGCGTAGGTCTGGAGAGACCTTGGCAAGTCTGCGTTTCATTAGGTGAGGTTGGCACTAAGAGCCTGTTTAACAGTGACGTGTTCAGAGATCAGACTAATCCCTTCCTTCTGTTACAGACCATACCTCAGAAACTACTGATTTGGATTATATTTGCCTGCACGTGAATTCTCTGAATATGCAATGAATGTTTCATCATTAAAACATCTGTAACAAGCATTTACACTAAGTTATTTGTAAATTTTTAATTACTTAGGTATTTCAAAGATACAGAGCAAGCTTTCTGTTGTAGGTTAGATAGTTTATGCCACCAAAGAAACAAAATAGTAGTTCGAGGGGGGCATAACAGTGATATTTTAAAATTTAGATGGGCAGTTTAGGGATGTTGAGAATCTGTTACTCACATTGACTTCAATTAGAACTGATCCTCTTATATGAGAAAGTAGAGAATATGCATCTCGATGGAATCAGAGATGTCATTCGAAGTAGTAACATCAAGTAATAAAACTTACCCACCTTTTGGCAAGGTACTTCATCTTTTATAAATTATAATCCATTGACTACTTCAAAAGACCATTAGGTTATTGCTAGGTAATTGTTTTGACTGTATAAACAAATACTTTTTTCCCTCTATTTCTTTTGTAAAATTTTAGGATGAATCTTCAGGAGAAATTACATTTTACATGAAGGGTGCAGATGTTGCAATGTCCACTATTGTACAGTACAACGATTGGTTAGAAGAAGAGGTAAGAAACAAAATCAAAATTTATAAAAATTAAAATTTCGTGAAAACTAAACATTTAAAATGAAAATATCAGGTATTATTGGAATAGGCTTAAAGGAGAACCTGAGCCAATGCAGTAGTGGGTTTTGAAGTTCAGTTACATATATCCTGAATGGGTTTTAAGGGATTAGAATTATTTCCAATTCTTGAATAACACACAGGAAAAGCAAAGCTGGTAGTCATAGCAGAACATGTTCCTACTTAAAACAGGGAAATTTGTTTTTCATGACTGACCTTTCACATAAAACCTAATTACTTCTGAGAAGTATTCTGCTATAAACCTATTTATCCTGAAATGCCCTTGTTTTATCAAATTCTACAGTGAGGTATGATTATGAATTACAAAGTTAATAAGGGTTGCAGCCAAATTGAAGTAGGTTTTTGCCACATTTATTAATATAAAATAGCTAGTGACTGAATTTCAAAACTGATTAATATTTTTCACTGTGTGGCTCTAGTAGGTACCAGCAATCATCTTATTTTGACCCTACATACAGACAATATGTTAATACAATGATTACACCATGTATGTTCATAATGGTATTGGCAATATGAATCAATATCTGCTGCAGGGCAGTTTGATTTATTCAGGGACATGAATAAATTAAACTCCCTCAAGACCTAGCAAAATGTCATAAAAATTACTTTTGGCGATAATGATGCACAATTAATTGTAAAATACTTGTTTAATTTATTTAGCTTTATGAGGTCAAATCAATAAGTGTTTTGCACTGGACAGCCTTGTTTTTCATTAAGACATGCTATTCCATGGCTATTCTTAATGTGTAGATATTTTTCTGATAAGAGGTACGTTCAGTGTAAAAAGAAAATGTAGCCCTGGTGCGTGCCTCAAAAATAGTTTTAATTTATTTTAAAACTTCAACCTAAAAGGGATTTTCTTTAAGCTAGGAGAGGAAATCTAATTGGCTTACCAATAGCATGCCACTTCATTTGGGGGACCTGAAGTATAATAGCTTTTTATTCTGTTTGTGCCTTCTCCAGAATAATCTAAGAGTCTAAAGAAACACCAAAAGTTATGGTACAGGTGTCCCCTGTTAGCATATAGTATAAAACGTGTACATACGGTTGAATATTTGCATGACTATACTGTGGTTTGGTCCATTTAGTGTGGTAATATGGCACGAGAAGGACTGCGTACGCTGGTTGTTGCCAAAAAATCACTGACTGAGGAACAGTATCAAGATTTTGAGGTATGAAGGGACAGAGTGGTCTTGTGCTTCACCATATTTAGTTACTTCAAGGGGAACATTCCTCTTTTTTATTCTATTAAGGTGGCAAAAAAGATTCACACTTAAAATATCGATAGTTGAGGTACGGCACACAATCTGTTAGAGACTTTGTCATTTGTTAGTGATTGTTCTGCAGTCATACATAGGATACTGTTTTGCTTTATTATGTGGCTGGACAGTGTTTTCCCAGAAGCTAGCATAATTTTAATTATATAGCTTCAGCATGACCTAAAAAATCTACTTGTTCTCAAAGATAAGGGCAGTTCCTGCTTAGATACTTTGATGCCTAATTCTTAATAGTTCTTAAAAAGGTGTTCTCTTGAGGTGATTTGTCAGGAAAAACACGTATAACATCGGGTGTAAAGTAAAATTCGCTCTTTTAATCTTGTTCTTGATTGAAGATATTTAAAGACAAACATTTAGTTTAGTGAATCCATATTATAACTGATTGGTAGACTGAATGCATACTTTATGAGTCATAGCAAATTCGTAAGTGGTTTTGTGTTTGTGCAAACAGAGTCGATATAACCAAGCAAAGTTAAGCATACATGATAGAAACCTGAAGGTTGCTGCTGTTGTAGAGAGTTTGGAGCGAGAAATGGAATTGCTGTGTCTCACTGGAGTAGAAGATCAGCTGCAAGCAGATGTTAGACCAACTCTAGAGATGCTAAGAAATGCTGGAATAAAGGTATTAAACGCATACTGCTGACATAACAGGTTATCATTTCTTAACTTTTTTTTAACAAGGCATGAATTATCTTTGTCTGTATTCAGGTTCACTCAAAATAAGAAATATGCCAAGTCCTAAATACATTCTGGGCATGAGCTAGCGGAAACAAACGAGACATTGTGTGCAAAGTTCCCTTGTCCACCACAGGTTTCGTGGATCTTTAGCTTACTTCTGTAGGAAAACTACCATGGATAAATGTATGTGACTCCCAGTCATTTATCCCCTGACTGTCTACAGTAAACTGTCCGAGCTGGCACTACATGAGTTTGGCACAAGATTCATATGATAACAGTATTTTCAGGCTTGGCACTCAGGAGAGGTCTCAGCAAAGATCAAAAGGTGAATTGTTTGAACTGGAGTTCAGAACTGCCCTTGGAGTTTGTTCAAGTCACGTTCAAGGGACAGTGACAAAAGCTTTGCACAAGAGTTTGTGCTGTGTTTTGTTCATAGGCAGGCTATGCTTGACAGCTATCAATTGCACATATAGAAGTAACACATTTATTTGAGAGAGGGTTTGAAGTAAAGATATGAGCAATATCTGAGGGGAGTGGGCAAGACTATATACATTTTTCTTGAAGCAGAGTGTCAAACTCTGCACAGCATAGGTGTGTTGACTTTGCATTGGTTAAACTGAATCAGATACAATGTTTTTTTCAGCCTGAGAAGGAGGGTAAGTTATTTTGCTATGCAGCAAGCATGGGAAATCTCCCTTTACATGAGAGAGGAGCGGAATGCATGGTGCTCTGCCTTGGAACAAATGATGAGTCAGTTGAGAATTTATGGGTTAGAATTAGTGGGCAGACCAACGTGGACAACATTATGGTGAGTGTCTACTACAGACTGCCTGATCAAGAATTAGTAGAAGAGGCCTTCTTCAGACAATTGGAAGAAGCCTCTCGTTTGCATGTGCTGGTGCTTGTGCTGGACTTTAACCACCCCGATATCTGCTGGAAGGGCAACACAGGAGAGCACAAGCAAACCAGGAGAATTTTGGAGTGCAATGACAATGATTTCCTGACACAGGTGATTAAGGAGTCAACAACAAGAGATGCTCATACTAACAAACAAGGAGGAATTGGTCAGGGATGTGAAAGTTGGTTGAGGGGACGGCCTTGGCCACCCACAGTAGTTACGAGAGGGTGGAGTTCAACAGGCTCAGGAAGATCTTACTAATGTCTAAGTAAATACCTGAAGGGAGGGTGCAAAGAGGACAGAGCCAGGCTCTTTTCAGTGGTGCACAGTGAAAGCACAAGAGGCAATGGATGCAAACTGAAATAAAGGAAGTTCCACTTGAATATAAGAAGAAAATTTCTTACTGTGAGTGTGTTCTGGAGCAGGTCTCCCAGAGAGTTTGTGGAGTCTCCATCCTTGGAGGTGTTCAAAACTGTCTTGACATGGTCCTGAGCAGCCTGCTGTAGTTGACCCTGCTTTGAGCAGGAGAGTTGGACTAGCTACTCTCCAGAGGCCCCTTCCCATGTCTGCTATTTTGTTATTCTGTTTTTAATTAATCCCTGTCCCCCAAAGGCTTTCAGGTGAATTAGCTGGTAATACAGGGGTGTGCACAATTAGAAAAATACATGTATGTATGATTACATCAAATTTCTTTTTAGTATGGTGTGACTAGTGCAAAGTACTTATATATTAGTACTTTGTGTATAATATTTTCTCGTTTGCTCTTGATATTTCTTCTATATGTGATCACTTCTGTTAGGTATATCCTGCTACAAACAGGTATAGAACAGTGTGACAATTTTTAGGTTGTGTGGTTGTTTTTTTGTTTTGGTTTTTTTAATGCTTAGTTCTAGGATTTCAGAGCATTAAAACTGTTCTGGCTTTAATTACAACCAACATTATAGTTGGCTGGAAACACAATAGTCGCTGTAGATAGGTCATAAAATTATAGATTACTCACTGATGAGAAAACATGGGGGTTTTGTCCATTCATTGACCCACATGGACGCTAATGAAAAGGATCTTACCTGAGATGTACAGGAAAAGAGGGAAACAGAGGCTTACAGTTCAATAAAATTGCAACTGTTAACTTAGTAACTATCCAGTAATAATTCCTGCAGCTTAAGTCATTCTTTCTATATGGTCTGTTCTGTTTGGTCTAGGGCTAATGGTCTTTCATCCAGATGTCCGTGAACTTTCTTGGTGTTGAGGGGCTGAGGGAGAGAGAGCTGTCTTACTTTAAGAACAGTTGGATCCTCAATCTTATTCCTTAAACTTTAATGCCTTCATCCCAATTCTGCATGGTCAGTGGGCAGGATCTTTTTGGAGCATTGGGACTGTAGCTCTTCCTCCAGGATACGCTATCTCATTGCTTGGCTGCTGCTTTCTGATAGATTCTCACTAGGGTCACGGACTGTTGTGTCACATCATTTTGCTGACAAATGTTATCTCTCTTGTAGTTTTCTGCATCCTCACTCTTTTGATCAAGGTAGTATCAGGGCCATAGGGAAAGGCTTTTATGCTTTCCCTGCTGTTTAGCTATGCCAGTGGGTTTCCCCAGAGTTTCATCTTGTCTTCATGTAAATTGAGACATTGGCCCCTGTGAGAACGGAAGGGGGATGGAGCTACTTGAAGTAAAGACAGTTCTCTTCTGCTTTGTGTGTTATTGCAGTAAAAACTGCTCTAATTTTAGTTAAAAATGCACATATCAGTATATTTTCTTTGGTAATCTAATTCTAAAAACTACCAGAAAAAGGTTGGAGAGATGTCATTTAGATTTGGAGAACAGACACATTAATGTCCAATGGAGTAAACTTCTACATTATTTTGCAGATATGGATGTTAACAGGAGATAAACTGGAGACAGCAACATGCATTGCAAAAAGTTCTCACTTAGTGTCTAGGACTCAAGATATTCACATTTTCAGACCTGTAAGTATAGTTCCAACTTTTTTTGTTGGTTCATCAAAGGACAGCTAATAACAATGTTGCTTTATTTGATTAGTAGTTGGCTGCTTGTTCAAAATTCACGGGTTATTGTACTGAGTGTCATAATAATGGTCAAGAGAGTAGTGCTTAGGTTGTTATTCAAGGACGTAGAATTACAAAGCATTGCTTCTGTTTAAGGGTGCTTGTTTCTAGATCTGTTGATATGCTACTGAAATGTTTGTAGCCATGTTTGGGTGACCCAGGTTCAAAATGCATTTTACACTTTTCACTTACACAATGGGCATAGTAAGGTGCCTCTGAGTAATGATGGAGAGGGGTCTATGTGAGATACTGAGCCAGTAGGAGAGAGTGTCCAGGAATTTACTGGACATGTGGTTCTTGCTTGTTCTAGCATTTTCATTAATACAACTCTTTAGACTCAAGCAGAATTAATCCTGAATTAAACTGTGATGCCAACATCCTCTGTATAGACGTAGTTCAAACCAGTTTGAGAAAATCAGAAATTTTTTTTTATATCATGATATATATTTGCATTTTATTAACAGACCGTTTAAGATAATTGTTAGAAAGGTAAACTGAGTATCTTTTTCTATACACTTCGGTTATATTTGCATAGCATCAACTCTACTGAAGCCAAACAAAAATAGATTTTCCAGACATTGATTGATGCTGTGTGATCAGACATAATATGTCTGTGTTTGTTCTAAATGAACCACTTGCACCTACAGAAATAATTATATGAATATAATTTACATGTAAATGTAGTTTCTTCTGAAGCATCAGAATGGCAAATTAGGCCCTGCAGACTACTATTTGCAATTAAATTATTAATGCTTCTGATAAAACTTCAGATCAATTTTTGTTGACCTTTCCATGTTGTAACACCACAAATTAAGTCTTCCTGAACAAAATCTATTTAGTTGAGTCAGATTTTTATTTTCATTACCTCGACTGGTAATAAGAGATCAACATAAAACTGTGTTAACTTAGAGTACGCGAAGTTTTAAATTAGTTAGAAAATGGATTTATACAGATTTATTTCCGTGGCTGTATTTGTTGCAAAGAAATAACTGCTGGATTAATGTAAGAAAATACCAAACATTCTAACACTTCTATTTTAGTTATAAATTAGTAAATAAAAAATTACTTAACTACTTTGGCTTCCCAAAAAGATGCATTTTTTCCTTTTTATTCTTAGAAGTCTCAGCTTCTTCATTTTGTAATGAAATTAACTGATACATTGTTCTAGAGGTATTTACAAATTTAAAAAAAATACCTCTGTTAGGTGAAAGGTAGAACAGAGAGGGCAATTACTGCTCATCAGTGTGCGCCAAGTGCTGACATCTCTTAATCTCTGTAATGCAGAAAGATTATAATGGGCCAATGCAATCCGGGGTTCCTAACAGTTGGCAGACAAGGAGCTTTCTCTTTACGTGTTTAACTGTGGGAAAGGAGGAAAAAAATTCTGAACTGGGGCATGTGTATGGGTTTTTCTGTTTGCAGGTGCTTTTTAATGTAACTCAAATTTTATGTGTAGTAGAGCCCATCTGGAGGGAGAAAGGTCTTTGGACCGCATCTGATTCTGGGTAATAGTGGGCCAAAGACAAAACTTCACGTTCAGTGTAATTAAGACTTATATTTTAAAAGTTATTTAATCAAAGTGCTGACAGAGCCAAAATTAAAAGTGTAATCAGAGTTTGTGTTTTATTCTGTGCTTGGAACTTTATCTTACATGATAGCTCTAAAATACATTGATCTTTTATTGGAAAAACCCCAAAACTGCCAATCTCCTCAAAATCTGGTTATAACATGAAATTTTTCATGTTCTATGTTCTAGCTCAAAACCTTTCAAAATCCATTTGGTAACCTTTGACCATTTTTTGCATTTCACAGCTTTCTGAAACAATAATTATGTAAATTAAAAAATCTATGATGTAGTTCTTTTATATTATGCCACTTGATCCTGTTTGCTTACTCATGCAAGATCCAAAAGGATTAGTACTAGTGAGCATTTTTATGTGCCTTTTGAAATCTGTGTCTACTTACCCAAACTGAAGGAACTATTAATACGAGCATTTTGCATTATTCTAAGAACATATTTTACTGGTTAATAAATAAAAGTTTTGGGGTTTGCTCGGTTTATTGTCTATTTATTTCTCTAGCCCTGCCAAGATGGAAAGACTCAGATCAGCTTGAACTTAAGATATTTTAATATCATTAATTCATTAATTTTGTAGCCCTGATCTACTTTGGTGAGGAACTAGTTAAGCTGACTACATAGATTTTCCATGTTTTGAGGATTACTTTTTCACTCCATAAGATTCGAGGCTTGTAGTCACATCCCATGGGTATTGGGCTTGCACTGGGATAAAACACTTGTTGAAGAACCAAGGCCTTTTGGGCATGGGTTCTCAAATCCTGATTTATTTAGGCAGGTTTTTTTTAAGAATGTAACAAAATTCTTTTAAGTGAGTGTTTTTTATTGAAGGTTACCACTCGAGGAGAGGCTCACTTAGAACTAAATGCCTTTAGGAGGAAGCATGACTGTGCCTTGGTGATATCTGGGGACTCGCTTGAGGTAAGAACTTGGTTTCTGTCAAATTACATTTATCTATATACTTGTGTTGAAAAAGTGAAGTATAGGTGTCTTCATGCTCTTAAACTTTTTTCCAATATTTGCCCATACTTTAAGTTGTCCTTAGAGATAGTTTTGGTTTTCACTGAGTGCTAATTAGAGGATGTATGTTCTAGATGGGCAAATGTTATTGGTTCTCTGTTCTTCTGTATGGTAACAGAATGGAATTTGTATGCAGCATGCTTTAATATTGTCTCTTCTCTTAACCTCAAAGCGTGTTGGCTCTCCAAATGAAAGAGAACGTCAATTTAAAATAATAAAGCCACAGTCAGGAGAATGTGGCTTTTTTCTCCCAGATGGGTGTTGTGCAAGCAAAACTTCAGAAAAGAATTCTTTATACTGTGTTTTTGTGTTAGACTACATATAGTAGTATTTAATCGTAAGTAAATGCAACTGTATTTTTTTCCTTAGGTTTGTCTGAAATATTATGAGCATGAATTTGTAGAGTTGGCTTGTCAGTGTCCTGCTGTAGTGTGCTGCCGATGTTCTCCCACCCAAAAAGCTCATATTGTGAAACTGTTACAGCACCACACTGGAAAACGCACATGTGCAATAGGTAACTTGGCACGATCTTCATTTGCAGTAGCTAAAATCTGTAATAAACTTAAGCAGTAGATGGCACCATTGAGAAATAGTTGAAATAAAACCAGAGACACCTCTTTATCAACAGCCAGGTATTATGTAGCTGTAGCAGAAAATGCCATTCCATGGGAAAGGTGTGGTTATCTTCTTTATTCCACAGTAAAAAGTCTTGATTGCTGAAGTAATTAATCATAATCCATAGGTTAATTGTAAGAATTTAAAGGTATATAAGAGATTTCTAAAATACTGTAAGGCCAGGAGAGTTAAACCACTGAAGAGCTGAATATTGCAGTGACATTTTCCAGGTGATGGAGGAAATGATGTCAGCATGATCCAAGCAGCAGACTGTGGAATTGGAATTGAAGGCAAGGTAATGTTAGCAATTTCATTGTCAAATATGTGTCACGTAGTAGTATAGTAACATGGGATTACAAGCTTTATTCTTAAACAGTAGTGAATTGATCATTTCTAATTGAAGTATGCTGTAAGATGATAAAAATGCTTAGTCTTTGAACTAATATTTTCTTTGCTTCTATGCCCTCTGCTTTATCTTTTTAAATAAAAAAAGCAAGAAAATCAGAAAACACTATAGATACTTCTGTGTAGCATCTACCTGAAAGAAGCAGGATAGGCGATTAAACTTACTTGTTACGGCCACTGCATCTTAGAATATGCACAAAAAATTGTTCTTTGTGTCTCGTTGCAGGCTTGATTTCTGAAGCAGGAGCAAACTTGACTTTTAAAATTAATTATCACTTAGAATTTTGAAATTTGAAACACATCTTTTACACTCGGTTTTGTATTTGGAATATTTTTGTTTTGTTCTAGGAGGGAAAACAAGCTTCCCTAGCAGCTGATTTTTCTATCACACAGTTTAAACACATAGGTAGGCTGCTGATGGTACATGGTCGAAACAGTTACAAAAGATCAGCAGCACTTGGTCAATTTGTCATGCACCGAGGCCTTATTATTTCAACTATGCAGGTATTTAAAACTTTGTTTTCTAAATAGTTAAAAACACTATGTCTGTCTTTGAAATGCCACAAAATGTTAATCAACCAGTATTGTTATTTTTTTCTTTATTGTAATGTTTTGTATATAGTATTATACTAAATATATATAATTATCTGCTTTTTGTAGGCTGTATTTTCATCAGTCTTCTATTTTGCATCTGTTCCCTTGTACCAAGGATTCCTAATGGTAGGGTAAGTCAAAACCAACAGTTACAATACCTGGTAATAAATATAGCAAATTAACTTGTTAAATAACATCACGTAGTTGGTGTCTGCCACGTTTTTCATACATTTATCATTGGTATGCTACCAAAACCTGGAATTAGTCTGCAAAGAAAAGTCAAACTAGGTTGAATGTGCGCTATATGAGGGGGGGAGCCTCATTATGAGCTCTCTGAAGAGAGGGATCTGCATAGCCTTAGAAGAAGATATCATATCACCTTTTTCACATACAGGATGAAAACAATAGAGGAAATCTCCCAGACCAGTTTCAGCTGTTATACAGATTGCCATACAAGCCTCTGTGAGAATCACAGATTTTTCTGTTAAAAATGGAGCTGAAGTTACTGACTATGAAATTTCCTCTGAGAGTGCACTACCCAAGTCTGCCACACAGATTTCCATGCAGGTGAATGTATGCAGGATTAGGAGCACCCTGCTCTTGTTGCAGAAGCTGCTTTAGTAATATGGTTCCCCAAGTCATACAGCTGAGGGATATGCATATATTCGTGTTTGGCCCTGCTTTCTGCCCCTTCTGTCCTAAGACCTTCTTTTTATACTTCTTGTGAACAATAACAACTTAAATCAGTAGTAACTTAAATCATAGTCAAATCAAGGTCTGATTACACCAGGCTCTGCAGAGGCAAGCAGTAGACCTCTCCGAAATGTTTGTAAATAGTTGTGCTAAGTTCTAGGAAAGTACATACTAAAGTGTACATCTGGCATGTGCATACTAAAATCCAAAGTCACTTACAGAGCTGTTAAGAGTTTTGTTCATCTACCTACCTATACTATGATGTCCGGAATATAGTGCTTGTTTTTTCTTCAGTTTTCATGCAGTCATCTGTGGATGAATTTGTATGTCAGGTCTTTGAACTGGTTGTCCAAAGTGCAAGTGTACAGGGAGTATGGTAACAGGCGATAAGCTTGGGTGATATATATAGAAGAAAGAAATGTATTTACTGTTTTTGAATGTATAAAAGTTCTGTAACTTCTCATGACTGGCAGCTCTTAGAAACGCAAGAGCAGGTTGCACGTGTAAAGCTGTATTGGTAAGCTGCCTCAGTACTGGGTAGAAGAACCAGTTTAATTCCATTTACATAAAAAGAATAATTGAACTCAGTAGATCAGTTTAAAATCATATCATACAAAAGTGTCAATTTGTGTGCTTTCCCTTCACCTAGGTATGCAACCATATACACTATGTTTCCAGTCTTCTCTCTAGTATTGGATCAGGATGTGAAGCCAGAAATGGCATTGCTATATCCAGAACTTTATAAGGATCTCACAAAGGTATGATGTCCTCAGTGCTCAGATATGAACAAATGCTGAAATCTCTGGTGTGCAAAACTGGGAATTCTTACAATCATTTTCTTAGGGTATTCCATGCAAGACAGATGCACAAATAATGTAATGCTGACTTTTGTACTATAAAAATAATCCATGATAGCAAATGTTCCACTCAGTTTTAATAATGCATTTGTTAAGTCACCAATGGTTGGACTGAAATAATTCAAACATGAAGGTGTGTTGATGTAAAAGTTTCTTTCAGTCTGGCCCCAGGATCTCTGATCTGGAGTTATTTATGCTTACTTTTTCACACTCCTTTTACCTTTTTAACTGGTAGATTAATTTATAGATTCCACCCCCCCGCCCCCCAACCCCTAGAAATTACTATTGACCTCTCCAAAAGCTGACTTTCTTTAAATAACAGATGTGGATAATTGATATATCTTAACTGAATCATCTGTAGATACTGCTTTTTGTGTGTTTGCACATACCTACAAACAATGAAAGTGTATAATTTCTTCACCCTCAAAAGTGAAACAAATCTCAAGATTCTGTTTTCATAAGTTTTGTGAAAAGTACTTCTGCTCCATCTTAAACTGTCAGCTAGAAAAGTTATGATCCAAGGCAGAAGCAGATAGTCTTTTTTGGGATAGTAGATTCTTTGAAGATGTGTCTAAAAGTGCATATCCTTTCAACTCTAAAAGCAGACTGTAGTCAAAGAGGGTTCAAACTTTTCAGAGCCTTTGTCTTTTTATTTGTACTAAATTAGCTATTAGCTATGTTAGTCTGGGAGAATTTTTTCTCATCTCTTGGAGATCTTGATTCTCTCTTTCTTCTCTTCAGAATCTTTAAAGTTTCTTTGTGAGATTTCAGCCTATGATTAATCTCAAAAAAGCATGGCCTTACACCTGCTAAAGGCAGTTGTAAGCTTGACTGTGGAAACCTGTTGATGGAACTTGGAAGCATCTTATTTCCAAAGATAGAAGTTAACCTGTACTTGGAAACTGCCCAGGATGGGTTGATGAATACAGGCTAAGTTTTTTGTTTCGGCTTAAATGACAGTTCTTGGAGATGCTGAATCACTGGCTTTTCCAGCTTATGTTGCACCTCTGTGAAGATTAAATAAGTAGAACCCAAATAATTCTCTTCAGAAGAAAAACAAAAAAAAGAAATGTGGAGAAACTGGAGAGTACAGTTCAGACCATTGTGTGGGGCAGATGATGATCAGTGAATGATTATGGATAAGTAGTACAAAAAGTTATTTATGTGCTACATTTGACTTCGCTATTACAAGGTAATCCTATTGTGAGTGTTTATTACAACAATTTATGATTATGCTGCCTTAGTCATGAAACTATGAAGCCTACATATTTCTGCACATCATTTTTCAAATTATGGACTCTAAATGCAAATCTCTACCAATGCTATTCAGCTAGTGTTACTCAAACGTGTTGACGTGGACTATAATTGTATTCCTAGGAATTGGTTTATTTTCTGGGATATGCTACTGATGAAAATGCTTTTTTTGATTTTTAAAAGAATAAGATATATTGGCAGAAGTCATTGACAGTCTCTTGCTCCGGTGCAAGAAGAGGAGAAAATTAGCAAGGTTCAGAGAGACAGGTGTGGCCCCATACCCTGGAGGACACACTGATTCAGTATTCCTGTTACTGTGGCTCCTACAGAGTTATAGCTAGAAAAGCTGATGAAAATTTGAAAGGAAGTACAAATAAGAGGGCTCCCTGCTTTTGTCTGAAAATGATTCACGGCCTGTTGTGGAGCATTCCCGAGAGGCTCAGGAGTGACTTACCCCTTCTAGTTCCATAAAGGTGAACCAAAACTCAAGCTCATTCTTATTTCACAAATCTCGCTGATTGGGAGCTATGGTTGAAGGTGGAAGCAGTGTCCAGTACTCAAAGGAAAATGAGTAGTCTCTCGGAGGAGAAAAAAAATTTAATGTTTCTTTGTGCTTGTACAAGAATTTTTTCCCATATGTTCAGTCTGTCACCAACATTCTAGACTATATGCAGAATTATGAAAATGTCTGTAGCACCTTGCCATGAACTCTGTCTATCCAAGAAAATGTTTTAGCCTATACTGAAGTAATAGAAAGAGTTAATTCATCACTTTCTACGGCAATGAAGCACATTTCTTTATAAAGTGCTGGTTATTCCCTGTTCCAGAGTGATCACTACTTTTGTGCCAAAATGGCTGCTTTGTTGGCCGTTTTATCCTTTTAAATGCATATCCTTTCAACTCTGCAATTCTAACATATTGAAATATGTCATATGCACAAGTACAGCATTTATTCTTTGATTTATGCATATGTTTCAATTTATAACATTCACAATCACAGGAAGATTTAAAATGTATCTGGTAACAGTTACTTGCTGAAAACTTATAGTAGTCATATGTTTAGTCTATGAATGCAAATAGACAGTTTATCCAACATTTAGAAGTGACATTTAGTAGTGACAGTTTTGCTTGTATGTACACAATACTATTTTTCTTGAAGACTACATTTTACAAAACAGACATAAAAACATTTTAAATAATAAATAAACTAATTTTACTGTAATTATCCCTCTGAAAACCAGTCAGAGCATTGCAAGGTAAAGTATCTTTGCTGTTTAAGGCCGTAACTGTCCTACCCCCAAATTTAGACTTTGATTTCTATACAAGTTTGCAATGAATAATCATAAAAATAAGTGGAAGCTTTTTAGCCTGTATCACTTCAAAGACTGCTTATTTTACTTGTAAAATGTCTCTAAATAGTGATTAACTATCAAAAATATATGAACTGAGTAGATTTTTTTTTTTAAAGTTGTGTTTAACTGTCCTCTCACTTGTTTCCCTTAGGGAAGATCTTTGTCATTTAAGACCTTCCTCATCTGGGTTTTAATCAGTATTTACCAAGGTAGGAGAGAGTCCTAATTTTACTGAACTGAGAATTTTGTGTCTGCTATTAGCAATATTGCTTTTCAGCTGCAGGTTGAATTCCCAAAGCTTTACATTTCATCAGCAGTTACATATATTGCTTTCTGTTTAACTTGTAAATCGATATTCCTATAGTGTGCCAGGCCTATTCAAAACATGGCATGGGTTGGTATTTTTATTGGTGCGTGTCGCCTAAAAAAGGACATGTTTTTAATTAAATGCTAATCCAGAAAAAAATTAATGAGTGCTTATCACATTGCATATATTTACACAGTAGTTTTCTTTCATGGAATGACAGAAGTACTGTTGAAGAAATCTGAGTTATGTAATCAGTTAAAAGTAATTACACTTTCAACAATATCATTTATTTGTAGCACTTGACAAAATGAGGTTAATTAACAGTTCGTCAAATATATTGCACTAAAAGGTGTTTAATTTTCTAAGAGTTTTATTTCTTTACTTAAGTACCTTTCAGTACTTAAAGGGGGCTTATAAGAAAGACGGCGACAAACTTTTTAGCAGGGCCTGTTGCGACAGAACAAGGGGTAATGGGTTTAAACTAAAAGAGGGTAGATTTAGACTAGATAGAAGGAAGAAATTTTTTACAATAAGGGGGGTGAAACACTGGAACAGGTTGCCCAGAGAGGTGGTAGATGCCCCCTCCCTGGAAACATTCAAGGTCAGGTTGGACGGGGCTCTGAGCAACCTGATCTAGTTGAAGATACCCCTGCCATGACAGGGGGCTTGGACTAGGTGACCTTTAAAGGTCCCTTCCAGTCCAAACTATTCTGTAATTCTGTGATTTACAGCTTTACTTTGGTTGTTTTATTTCACATGCACAAAGTACAGTAAATATCATTTCTGTTCTTTTAGAAAGATCAATGTTGTTACCTTATAAAAAAAATCACTGGGCAAGTTTTCATAATAAGCAATCAAATGTTCAGTGTGCAGTTGTAAAAACTGGTACACTGATAATTTCATTGCTCAGTGTATTGTTAACTTTGTGTGCCTTTCCTAGGTGGTATTCTGATGTACGGAGCCCTGCTGCTTTTTGAATCTGAATTTGTACATGTCGTTGCCATTTCCTTCACTGCCCTTATCTTGACTGAGCTCTTGATGGTTGCACTGACCATACGAACATGGCACTGGTTAATGGTGGTGGCTGAATTCCTCAGTCTTGGCTGCTATGTGGCCTCTCTTGCATTTCTAAATGAATACTTTGGTGAGTAATAGTAAAAGTATTTTAGCAAAGAACTGTGCTTTATATTTTTTCATTTTTTTTTAATGAAGAATAGGTGATGTTATGCTTTGTGAAATACAGCTTTCTCCATAAGAAATGTGACTGAGTTGAAATTAGGCTTAATTAATGTTGGGTTAAAATATTCTCTTATCCTTTTCTCCTAGAGTTTGACAATCTTTATTCTTGTTAGTATGATTTATCTAGATGATAAACTTTACTCAAAGCACGCATGCTTTTTCCATCCTTTATCTGATCTTGATAGTCCAAACTGCATACTTTAAACTGGCTTTGAGATTCGCACTATTGAAATGGATATGATTTTAAAAATCAGGATCTTTCACTGAGTTGGTGAACTATTTTGTATGCCAGACCAAGCAGACCTCATTAGATTTAACCCACAAGCGTAAAAGAGCTGAAGTATTGCTAGAGAGTAAGGCAGAAGGCTATTAGGATAGATACTTTATATAAGAATCATTGTTTCATAAGTATATTAAGCTTATATTAAGCTTGCTTAGCTTTAAATTGCAGTATGCCATACTGCAAGGTTCTGATTGTTCATTGTTCACAAGATGAAAGAACACATTTTAACTGCAAATCTTAGCAGTCAAGGATCTGAGCATCAAAATAATACATATTTCTTTTTATATCAAATTATCCTTCAGTAAAAACAACTATCTCAGTGTGATTTTACAAATGTAACTTTTACAGAAAAATATATATATAAATTTTGATTATACCTCACAAGGAGTAGAATCCAGCTCCTTCTCTCTCTGTTTTCCAGGAGCTGATGAGTAAGGAGTTGCCCTTCAGTTGCCACTTCTCATAGCAGAATTAAATGTTACATCGTAGTTTCTAGGAGTCTCATAGTTCTGCTTTCACTCTCTCATGTCCCAAGTGTTTAACACTAGTGTAGTGTATTTACATTATATATATTTTTTTTTTAATCAGTGAATGCTTCACTGCCTGTCCCAGGTGTTCTGTTACTTCCCAGATTTCTCAGGAGTCAAATTTTAATGAAGAAACAACCCTACTGGGCATGGTACTTGTATTGTACATTATTTCAGGTTTGCCAGAGTACCTTTTTATTTTCTCTGACACTGATGCACAGACTCTTTAATAGAGATTATTGGGTTGATTCCTGAATCTCCACAGCCAGATTACAAGTGAAAGGAACAAGGAAGAACAGATACAGGTACTGGCTCTTTAGTCCAAACTTCCAGGAACTTCATAAAGCAGAACTTGCTGCTTCACCTTTGTAAGTCTTTAGTATTGGTGACAGCCAGTCCTTCCATCCTTTGTAGGTCTTGTTCAGGGAGAAACACCTTTAGGTGGTGTTCACAGATGTGTAAAAACTGCAGGGACTTTGTTTCTTGCAAACCTTTCTGTAAAGGGGAGTGCTTTACTATCCTCATGTATTTGCTGGACAAGTCCAAGCAACTGAGTAAGTAAATGGTTGCACTGCTTCTTGCTTAAGCCTGGGGACTTAACTTCTGTATTTTTCATCATTAAGGGTACTGAAAAGGCTGCAATTTTATGGGCTTTTGTAAAGATGTATTTTACTGTGTGTTATTAATCAGTTAATCTGAGAAAATGCATTTCAGTCTCACTTCTGCTCAATGCTTTACTCTTATTTAATCTGTCACATTATAACTGGGGGGAGGGAGCCTTTTTTTGTGCATGTAATGTAGTATATGGTTTACAGTTCAAGGTGCAGAACAACTTCCATGTATCAGGGAAAACAATCCAGTCCAATAGTGCTTGACTTCATTGGCAAATAAACTGTTTCTTTCAATGATGTTACTTATAAGCATCATCTCCTCCCAAAGAAATTATATCGTAAGTATGACAGGGCACTCAAATTAGAAAGACAAAAATATTTGATACTGCTGTACAGTTCTGACTCATGGAAGTAAATCAGTTTTCAGGTTTCAGAATTAATTGCACATAATGGCCTTATTAGGCATGTCTCTATGATGTGTTACATAGGCTTTTGGTATGTCTAAGCAGGCTTAGGCTAAAACTGTATACCAAGTTTATACATTGAAATCTAATATACAAAGTATTTTTAATGAGTAAAGTTGGAGCAGTAAAGCATTTCTTTACTGCATTTTCTGAAGTGAATTTTCATTCACATTAAAACAGTTCTATCAAGTTGTTTATGCAGTAAATTATACATTGAAGTGAAATGTAAGAAAACTGCCTACCTACTTACAACCTTAAAACATGACGAAATACAAAATCTCTATATTTTTGAAATGTTTTGGTTTAATTGCTGTTTAAAATATTCTGATTGTCATGTGAAAGGCAATAATATTCCAGTTAATGCTACTAATATCTTTTTCATTTCTTTTTTGTGTAGCTAACCTGTTTGGGTTTTTTTCACATAACTTTCATATTTTCTGTAAATCTATCCTTTCATTTTCATTCTCCCTCTTGTGAAACAGGTATAGGCAGAGTGTCTTTTGGAGCTTTCTTAGGTAGGTGAAGTTTAACTTTCTTGAAGTTTTTTTTAAGTCTTTAAATATTCATTGAAGAGTAGTAAATTATTTAATATACACACTTGTAGATAATGGAAAAAAGCAAAAAAAAACCCCAATTCTTCTGGTTACCTGGGTTCTGGGATCTTTCCATGATAATTAAGTACGACCTGACCATTGCAAATATGGTCAAAAAATTTTTCAGTAGCAAGTGTAGGGTGTCACCGTTCTTGTTAATGTTTGTCACAAAAAAATAGCTTTTCACTGTGGCAATATCACTACGTTGTTTTCCCTTTAAATTTTTGGGCTCTGATTTAATCTCTAAGGTTTTAAGAACCATTCAGTCTACTTGTTGTGACTGTTATAGAGAAAAATAATCTGAATATGGAATAAAGGATCCAAAATGGCAGCAGAATTTCTGGTTGGGAACTTGTATTATAGTGGGTAAAAATTGTTCTTAACAGGAGACAAATAAGCTGGCTTAACTTTTTATTATGAGAAAGGTTTGCTTTTAAACTGAGATTCTGTTCCCCCTAAAATTATTTTGTGCTGCAAAAAGCGTAAGGACTCTTAAGTTCCTGACTAAAGGGAATAGCTGACAAAACCAAAATGTTGAGGTTAACTTTCTCCTTCTGTTGTTTTGTTGCCTTTTTTTTTTTTTTTTTAAATTTTGCATGGTCTTGAACAATAGCATAAGCAAACAATTAAGAGTGTTTTATTGACTTTGCACTATGGAAGTTCCAGTTTCCGTGTTACCAGCTTGCATTACTTATTTTCCCTTTTTGTTTCTACAGATGTTGCCTTTATCACAACTGTGACCTTCCTGTGGAAAGTGTCAGCAATCACTGTTGTAAGCTGTCTTCCACTTTACATTCTCAAGTACTTGAAGCGCAAATTTTCTCCTCCAAGTTACTCCAAGCTTACCTCGTAAAAGTTATTACATTCCTATGGTTTTTCACTCACACCGGTCTGCAAATTGCACATTCACTGTGCTTTAGTGTCTACGGATTTACGCTGGACTAAAGAAATTTTAAAAAAAAAAAAAAAAATCAAAAGCGATAGAGTGAATAGAGCACAAAAGAGGAGGAAACATCTGACAGGTACAATAACACAGAAGTGTACTAACAAGACTATCAGAGATAAACGAAATTTTCTTCATGTTGATTTTTTTTTTTACTTTCATTTGCTATGATTATAAAATAAAACTTAATTACCTTTGATTTGACAATGCTTCTGAATGGTTTCATTGCTACTGTAAAGGATTTTTTCCTACTGTACTAATCTTCTGCAAGTTGAATTGAAAGTTTCGTTATTTATTACATAACTTCGCTTCTTTAATTATTACATAACTTCCTAATTCAAGTCCTTTCCTTTAATGTTTATATATGGAAAAGTTCATTTGTCCATACTTACTATAACAAACCTAATACCTGTAAATGCCCGTGTCTGTATTAGCAGCTAACTATTATTCCTTATCAGACATTGAGTAATATGCACTATTTGAATTATGTACAGATGTCTGCATAGCACAGTATTATTTTAGGAGCTGTTGTCCTATTCCGTACTCTCCATTTCTGGCACCAGTAAATATTACAGATCTGTGATGTTGACAGCAGTTCTTTAAATGCACATTACGGCCAGGTTGCACAAAAGCTGTTTAAAAATTAAATGATAAATTCTGTACATAATTCCACTGCACCTATTGATCTGTACAGGTATCAAAGACATGGCTGCTCAGTAAATATGTTTTAAAATTCTTATTCATTTTGTATTTGTAAAACTGCAAATAGTGTCAAAGTACATTTCTATATATGAGAAGTCCAGTAAACCTTGTATTAGCTAATATGTTTAAATTGCCTTGTAATCTGTTTACTTAGGTTACTCAGGTAAAAGAAAATAAGACAAACACATGAACATTATGGTAGGAAAATCTATCATCTTCCAAGTTGTAAATGTTATGTTTTTATAAGTTAGTTTGGGTAAAAAAAAAAAACAAACAAGACATCTTTGCTTGTTGTAAACTGTCAGAGTTGAGTATCTTGGCTGAGTTTATGACGTTTAGAGTGGTTGAAGATTTGTTCCAGAAACTCATATACTCTGATACAATCTGAAAGGTCCAAATCTTGCATACTGTATTGGAAAGTAGGATATATTATTTTAGTTTTCCATTGTGATATAACTTTGCTTTCTCAAGAAGTACGTATAATGAATTTGGCATAGTCTATTAACCAGTGGAAAGGAACAGCATAATTATCCGTGCTTTATTTATTAAATATTTATGTGTGTGTTTTTAAAAACACTTAATATGGATGTCATTTTTATGTTTGACTGTATGCCTTTACAACATAATTCCTTGTTTAGTCTCTTATAACTTAGCCCTTATGCCATTATTATATTGGATGAGTAACATTTAAGTGATAAATGTAACTACTTCCTGGGAGAGCAGAGGAAACTGCTGCAGAGCTATTTGGACTCCACTCCACACCATTAATTTTTGTTTTGAAAGTTTTTCTTACTAGCTATTTATCTGTTTGGTTTTGTTTTTGGTTTGTTTTGGTTTTTTTTTAAATTTTCATTCCTCATTATAAAAGCAATAAAGCCTAATTTCTACTAAATATTATTAATGGTATATGTATTAAATGAACTACTGAAGTAGTGTTTTCTTCTAATTACACAATATTGAAGACTAGTTTGCTCTGTCCCTCTGTAAACTCACTTCTGTAAAACCCCCACAAGATGTCACTGTTCTTGCATACTAGCAGAAGCCTTTCTTCATTTTATGTGGTTTTGGCAAGATACTCTTGGTTTATATTTTCAGTTTAGTCCTGCGATATTTTTGTTGCTGATTTGCTTTAATTTTCTATTTTTCCCCAATAAGTGGTAATTACTTGGAATCAATTAAGAAAAGTCACCAGTGTGCAGTTGTTCTGAAACGTTGATGATGTTTTCTTCAGACCTTTTTGTCTTATACATTGTGAGCTCGCAACCATATGCCTAAGATTCAGTAGATAAGCAAAAGCTTAGAGTTGGTCATCCTTCACCTATACATCACATCTTTGACATTGGGCAGAAAACGAGACAAAATCAGAAATTAAACTAGCAGTATGAAAGTGATAGTGTTACCGTAATACAGCTGTATGAGATACAATCGTATCCATGTATACAGAATTTATAGTGTACGTATATTAATCCTCAGCATTAAGACTGTGAGGTTAGTGGGATGGCAAATGTGTAGATCCTACACACAGATACAAGCCTTTCAAAAGTGGAGTTAGTTCTCTAGAGCGCCTGCTTTCTTACAATATTTTCAATATACAGGCAAAGGTCTAGTTTCAGCTAGAACTTTATTTTGAAGACTGCAGAAGTCTGATTCAGGTGACTTACCTGGCTTTTGAGTTTCAGTCACTTCAAAACTATGAATAACAGGAAAGTCTGCTTTCTATTCATTCATGTCACTCAGCCCTGTAAAGGGGTAGCGCTACCAAATCACAGTGGTTTACAGGTAACAATACAGATTTTAAGTATCTTCCCGTAGAAAGCTTTAATGTATTGTGGATTTCAGTACAATATACGCTAAGTACCATCACAATCCCTGGCTCTTAAAACAGACTAGAATGGTAACATGTCTGGTGTGCAGGTGAATAAATTATATTGTAAGAATCTCATTCTATTGTCATTTCATGTCAGTGTAAGTCTGGAGGACCAGCTCAGCTTACATAAACACAGATTTAGGCCTTGGATCTGCAATTTACACCCAGAAGGAGCTTAGTTTTATTTGGTATTAAGTAAATGTGTACTTTTGTGAGCTGCTATGTCAGATACATATTTCTGAAATGGTAATCATGTCTCTTTGAAAACATATTTGGAAAACAATTTCAGAATTGGGATAGGACGAAGGAGCAAGATGTGAACAGGCAATATGTCTTCACCAAAGTAACATACTAACAATACTGACCTATTTGGACCATGTTTAATAAGCATACAAGCTAAACATCTGCTAGATTTCCTACGTGGTTTGATGGAAGAACACAGGGAAAAGGAGAGATCCTGCAAAAAAGGAGTTCTGGTAATTATTACACTGGTTTCTTCTGCTGCTATTCTAAACTTCTGTGTTCATGTAACTGCTGGAAGACATTTTACTACACAAGGTATTAATTTGCTAATGGAAGCCAAAATTAAATCCTTGCATACTTTACATTAAATCTGTAGCACTCTTCCATGAATGTGAGTGTTTACAACAGTGTTTTTAATTTCAAACTGAGCTTGCTGACACATACCATCAGAATTCAGCTGTGTGGTATCTCCTGTTTTCTTCCTAAAATTTCTGAGTGGTTGTCCAAAAACATGCCGTTGCTTTTGTACGTACACAGGAAGCATGTATTTTCTTGATGAGCAGCATCCACTTGAGCCAACCTGTATTATAAATGTCCTCCTACCACGTGTCCACAAGAGAGTGCGGGCCTAAACATTTTTCAGTCTCCTTTTAAAACATGTCTGCACAAGGGAACTCTGCAGTCGGGAACCTTTTCAGACTGGACACTAGTTCTGCAGGTATTTAAGCAAGAATTTTAATATTCACATAGGTAGTTAAACAGCTGTTAGTCATGGGGGTCAACTTCTGTAGACTCTACATACTGCTCTTACTTACGCCCATTTGTGCATGTTAGAGAGTAGGCCTAAGCTGTATTATCTCCATACTCTTCTGCAACCTTATTGCTGTCTCAAGGCATTCAGATTACTTTGAGGAAGAACTGGCCTCAGATCTGTTGGTGAGCTAGGCAGTGCATTCCTGGGATCATCCTCCATCCCTACACTGATGTGCACCTCTGCCTTGCTCATATAGGGTACACTGAAGGGTTCCTTATCACTGGAGGTTGGGGCTGTTCACACCTGAACCACCTTTGTTTGCATATTTACCACATGAATGATGGTGAGTCAGACCGGGGGAAGGGCTTACTGTTTAAATGACAGTATAGACTTCCTTAGAGGCTTTGGAGATGTGCTATTAACAAAGATGCTCTGTCGTGACCTCTTTTCCCACTTTTGCAGAGCTCTGTATCCCTGGGTTTTATATGGGGAGAAGACTTGATAGAGGCTTGCATGTGTTTCACACTTACATCCCTTCACATGACCCAAAGTATTAATGTGGTTCCAACAGCTCCTGCAGGGCAAAGGAATTTAGTGTGGAGTATGTGGAGTAGACAGTAGAGTTTGGGCGGACAGTGCTCCTTAAAAAGTGATAGCCACAGGAGGAAAGGTGGTTGTTCTGCTCTCACTACTGGTGCAGAAGCTATTCTTGTAGGTCCTGCTTACTCTGACATCCATTTGAATTTTAGCTTCCATGGAGTGTCTCCTTATTTTTGTTGGCTAGAAAGGGCCAGCAAGTCTCTTGTAACACTTCATTTAATAACCTTTTTGTATCTAGGCTGTTATTCTAATAACTCAATTGAAACCTGAAGGCAATCAAAAAAGCCCTTCAATATGTGAGCCCCCTGTAGGGAGGAAAGTCAGTACAAGTGAACAAATACAACATGGATCAAACGTTATATGTAAACAAACAGAAGGTGCAATATCTTTAACACTGTGTTAAAAAGCGTAGGAATTCCTTTTGTAAACAAAACACACTTAAAACGAGATACTTCCCAACAAGTATTAACTACCCAACAGATGCCCTCAGCAGGGTTCACAGCTGTTACTGTGAGTGGGAATTTGCTCAGCCAATTGCTAACAAAATCCTTCTCAAATAGGGAATTGCACTGAAAGACCTATTCACTATTTCATTGACCAAAAACATAGTTTTGATCAAAATGTTTTACAGCAGAGGTTGTGAAAACCGGATGCCTTGAACAGAATAATGAGAGAGCACTCCACAGTTGAGTTGACAAATTCTACTTTATTCTCCCATTCCTGACCAGGTTTTAGCAAAACTGCAGCTGAGATTTCTCCTTATTGTAGTCTCCTCCTGTCCTCCACCATGCTTTCAACTTGAGATCGTAATTGGCAATGGAAAGCCTCTAAATTGCTCAGAAAAAAGCAGGTTTGAGGAATACTTAGCCTTTTTGCATTACTAAGCTGTAAGAATCATCCTCTGCTCTAAGAAGAGGAGATACTATTTTCTGTAACTATGATGCATGGTAAGTATTTATGGCCCTGCCTTTATTCCTCTAGCAGTAAACCATGTTTATTTCCTCTTCTCCTGACAAAAGTAGTAAGAATAGAAAGGGCTTTGGTTATAATGTTCATGTAGCTTTAAGCAAGCAGTACACAAAATAAAATATTGTAATTCTTATTTGTAGAACTACTTTCCATTGTTTCTCTATAATGTACACATCTAGTTTTTTCCATGGGCCCTCAGTGTTTTGCTGTGTTTTGCTCAGGGTTCTAAGCATGAA